AGGTATAGTAAGAAAAAAATCCCCTAGATTTTAAGTAATATGTATTATATCTTGTTTTGAGAAAAATATTTTGACTTATACTGATTATTTACCATTCCTAATTACTTCAATCTTTTACTTAACAGGAAATATGAATTTGCATTTATTTATTTATTTTGTATGACATGAAATGGCAATATTGACCAGCGCGTAACTGCCGTTTGCTTTTTTTCGGCAAGGCAATTTGTGTACCTATACAGAGAAAACTAGATTTTTAAAATGTCGTTTTAAAAAGTCATTCTAAACATCCAATTTTGAACAAAATAGTAATAAACACCTTTATGTATATTATAAAGATATATTTTGAAAACAGTAATTGCTAATCAGCAGTTACGTGATTCTTTGTAAATGACTCATTTTATAACGAATAATGCTGCAAAGCTTTAGAAAAATAAATTGGTTGCACGTGACATCTTAAATGGACACAGCTTTTTCTATGGTTTCCTCCATTGAAATAACGTTTTGTAAACCTCAATGAAAACTGCCAAATACATTGGTTAAATCGTTTGGGATTGTATGTGGTTGGCGCACGAAATGCATGCCCAAATAAACGCACATAAATCTAACGTGAGACGAAAATCGGTCAAAAAGCTTTAACGCGCAATTGGACACGCCCCGGAATATAAACAGGGACAGGAGACTTTGTTAAATCAAATTCCAAAATCCAAAATAAAAATTTCCTTTAAATAGCTGAAAATTTCTAATGCGGAGTGTTAACAGATATGTAATGGACACCCTTGTAATTTTAAGTCTATTTCTCATTTCAAGTACAAAATTATCATTATCTATTATTCAAAGCTTCGCGCCATCTAAGCGAACATTTTTAATGAATCCTCAACTTGTTTCATTTTACATTTACGCAGGCATATCGCACTCAGACTTGTATTTTGAAAAGAACATGGCAGCCATTGCCACATAGACTGCGGCTTAGGGTTTGTCGAAAAACTCACAGTGTGTGAGCAAGGCGTTGCTTAATAAAAAAAGTGTTGGTTTTAGAAAATTTTCATTTTGCGCTTTGGATATAATTATCACGCAAAATGTTTTGTATATTTTGTATTGTCGCAGTTCAATCGGAATATAAATGTTAAGCAGTTCATAATATATCCTTTATACCAAAAACTCCGTCATAAAACCCACTGTGCTTGCGCGGCTGCCGCAGTTTGTACCAATTAGTCAAGGATTTCGCATTAAGGAAACAAAAAGGGAAAAAGGTGGCGAACGTGTCACGCTTTTAAATTTAAATTACTGTAAACAAAAAGGTTATGCTCAAGAATGTTTATGTTTTTATTGTAGCCAGCTTGAGTGGATCTAAGTTTTTATCGCCATTTAATAAATTATTTTCAAGGAAAAGCTTAGTGTCAAAAAACTGCCATAAATCACAACTTGAATGTCAGCTTAGGTCATCCAGTCACTCCACCTGAACGCGCTGACTTTGTTTCATTTGATGTTTTTCAATTTTTAGAAATTATAAAAGATGAAGATAACTATGAATCGTAAAAAATACTTCGGTGAGCTTATAACCTTATATCACAGAGCACCATCCATTTTCGGTATTGTTAAGGATTCACAGTTCCAATAATGTCAAGTAGGTAAATAATATACGTTCATTCTTTTGCTAAGAGAGCCAGTTTTAATTATTTTTTTAATCAAAAACAAAAACCCGATATCTTATAATTGTTAAAAGGTTTACAAGAAACATAGAGAACAAGAAAGAAAGCAAACTTCGGCAAGCCGAAGTTCATATACCCTTGCAGCTATCGCAAGAATTAAATATTTTTGAAAACATTAAAATTATGATTTACTTGCGTATATGTTTAAAACATTGAAGCTATGAAGATTTGCAGCTTAATTATTTGATTGTTCTTTTATATATTTTTATTATTTGTATGGGAGCTATAGTCGTCCGATTTTGATGAATTTTAAACCATAATTCTGAAATATTTAACCATTGCTATATGTCGAAGAACTAAAAAAAAAAATTAAAAAACAGCAAAGTTATAACTTTTTTCAATTATTTTTCCGATTGTTCCTATGGGAGCTATATGCTATAGTCGTCCGATTTTGATGAAATTTTAATCATAATTCTGAAATATTTAACCATTGCTATATGTCGAAGAACTAAACAAAAAATTAAAAAACAGCAAAGTTATAATTTTTTTTCAATTATTTTTCCGATTGTTCCTATGGGAGCTATATGCTATAGTCGTCCGATTTTGATGAAATTTTAACCATAACTATGAAATATTTAACCATTGCTTTATGTCGAAGAACAAAACAAAAAATTAAAAAACAGCAAAGTTATAATTTTTTTTCAATTATTTTTCCGATTGTTCCTATGGGAGCTATATGCTATAGTCGTCCGATTTTGATGAAATTTAAACCATAATTCTGAAATATTTAACCATTGCTATATGTCGAAGAACTAAACAAAAAATTAAAAAACAGCAAAGTTATAATTTTTTTTCAATTATTTTTCCGATTGTTCCTATGGTAGCTATATGCTATAGTCGTCCGATCCGGCTCGTTCCGACTTATATACTACCTGCAATAGAAAGACAACTTTTGGGAAAGTTTCATGCAGATAGCTTTAAAACTGAGAGACTAGTTTGCATATAAACGGACGGACAGACGGACGGACGGACGGACAGACGGACATGGCTAGATCGACTCTACTAGTGATGCTGATCAAGAATATATATACTTTATAGGGTCGGAAACGTCTTCTTCACTGCGTTGCAAACTTCTGACTGAAATTATAATACCCTCTGCAAGGGTATAAAAATGATTTGCATTAAGATTTAATTAAATTTTAAATTAACGACAGCGACATTTTTAGTGAGAAAGACAATAACAATATGCCGATTTCGGTCACCGATAGCTTATTTCACTTGAAATAGGTAGATCATTATTCCCTAATATAGGCTTTTCCATACATGTATTAAGGATACACCCTGAAACAAAAGAACGGTAAAAATCAAGAACAGTTTTCTTGATTTACGAACGATCCGATCGCATGTTTTTGCTTTCCATTTTGAAACGTTGGATCACAAAAATCGAACAAAATCGTAAACACATCCTTTATCGTTCATAAAAATTCGCCTGTTTGTTCACAAAAATCGAACGCCATTCATAAAATCGTTCTAAATGCTTAGCCCCTGGCAAGCGGCTTCGAACGTCAAACATTGGCTAGCTATTTTAAATCCCTGACAAAGGTGTTCATATTATTTGTTTGGTTTAGTTTTTTTGTTTATGTGCTGCTTTTACCTTAATTCTTTTTAAGTTGACTACAAAAGTATAGTTAATTTCATTTGGTTGCAAACATTTTCACTTTGAATTCTTATACGGGTTTGGTACATAGTTGAATGTGATGCCAGTGTGGCGCAACCTGCTAATGCGTCTACGAATTCAAAGGTCCTCGGTTTAAATCAAGGTTGGGTCTCGGCATGGTGAGAAAAAAATAAGTTTGTATTAATTTCCTTTCAGAGATTAAAGTGAAATCAACGACAAAAAGAGGGGGGGGGAAAAGAAAGAAAAATTCGCAGGACACAATTTATTGAAAATGTTCAAGGCAAGATGGTTTCCGAGGATGAAAAAAAAATATTTTTGCGATTTTTTTCTGATTTTTGAGTGAATATAAATATTCAAGTTTTTTACACAATAAATGCCTTATCTTGTATCTTGTATTTTTTGTACTTATTATTTATCCCGTGGCGGCGGTCGTTCGGAGTCTCTTCAAAAAATGGCGTCTTACGGTGCGCAAAGCCTGAACAGCCAGTAATATTAAAAAAAAAAACAATTACATTGACTAATTTAATAAATTAGTTTATTGAGCGGATGAACGAAATTAAATTGAAAAATATGAGATTTTCAATTTCTGGCGCGGTTTTAAATTCGGAGGTACCATTTGTACCCAAAAAATTAGCATATTATTTAATACAAATATAAACAAAAAATGTTTGAAATAAAAACTGTATAAAGGATGTGCGCAAAATTTCATTTAGATCGGACCATTACTTTTTGAGTTACCTTGCGCACCGACTTGAAAAACGTAATTTTGAGAAAAACGCGTCTAAAGTTTTGTACATACCGCTCATTTACGAGATAATCGGTATATCAACGTGTTTTAGTCCGATCGACAAGAACCACCTTAACTAATTTTTTAAATTTAAAAACGAATTTTAGAACAATCTAACGCACATCTAAATAAACTTTTCATTGAAGTGGAACAACTCACATTCTTTTCTGTGTGTTTATTTTTTTTAATTTATTTAAGTAAATTGAAAAAAAGGGTTTGCTTAAGGATGGAAAAATGGTTATAACGGACTTAATTCAAAGTTACAAATGAAAAATTGTTTATAAAATTAAATGCGTTCGTTACACAGCAATTTCAGTCTTAATTACACTTGAGGCTAGCTTCACAATACCAAACCGCATTCGAATTGCATTATTCAATCAGCTCCTTGCTCCCTTGGCAATTGAGGTGGGTGGAAACGGTGGAGGATCTATTTACTAATACATTGTCAACTGGCATTGCAATTAAGGCCAGTTTGTTAAACCATTTTTGTACCAGTCAGAAGTTTGCAACGCAGTGAAGGAGACACTTCCTACCCTATAAAGCATATATTCTTGATTAGAATCACTATTCGTTTCTACACAAACTAGTCTGTCAGTTTTAAAGCTAACTGAATGAAACTTTCCCGAAAGTTGTTTTCCTGTTGCAGGCAATAGTTCCAAACTATAGCATATTGCTCCCATATTATTTACATTTTATTAAAATCGGACAACTATGTCATATAGCTCCCATGAAAACAATCGGAAAATTAAACCAAAAAACATTTTATATAAACTTCGGCTTTACGAGTGCCTTTACACCTGACGTATTCATAATTACGCACAAAGAAACATTACGGCATGGGCGGACGTGGCTTAAAACAATTTAAATTAAGTTTCCAATTAATTAGCATCTATTCGCAGAGCACAGGAGCCCCGGCAGCAAACATGCCAGCAAACTTCCGCTTTCGGCATGCGACCGTTAAATAAGCGCTGCCTGCGGTCATGGGATATGTACGTGGGCAGTAAGCAGTGGGCAGTGGCCCCGGATGCAGTTGTGGTGTGCAGTTTTTGTTTTCGGACCATTTGACGGGTTCGTCCGCTCACACACCCGAAAGAAGAGAGATTGAGCCGGACACATAGCGCAAAACAAAATCGGACAAATGCTAAATTACGTGCAAAGCTTACAAAAACTTTTGGATTCTGCCCCTGGCTTTTTCTACAACTAAAGCTGCTTAATTATTTGCTGTACGCCTTCGTATCGGGAATTACAGTCGGAATAAGATGAAACAATTGCTGATGATTTCAACATTTAACAAATAATTTTGTAGGCTTCGCAACCAATTCTTTATTTGTTTTGTATCATTAATAAATTGTTAAAACCTGGTAATAAATAGATTACAATCTTATACTTAAGGACTTACAAAAAATTGTGATATGCCTTTTCTTAACGTTCCTTTCTTGTTGTAGATAATATCAGAAGATAATTCGAATTTTCTTAAGCTTGTAAAAGTGGTGTATACTTTTCGGTCTGTGAATAGTTGTGCATATAAGGTGGTGGTATTAAGTTTGCTAATTTTATTAAGAGGCAGCAAAAATTAAATGTTCCGGTCCCGACAGTGCTGCCCATCAAAAATGTTTCTTTTATCCATGTTTTCCACCATTTATGGATTCAGTTTATTTAAACGTTAAATATCTGGCAACGCCGTGGACAGCCCAAACACACCTGCAAGTTTGGAAAACTGAAGAGAAGGTGTCGCCAGATGGACAATTTATGCCCTTTATCGATGAAGGCGCCCAGGAGGACCACAATTTGGTACATAGCATGGAGTGGATCAGCAGAAGGCCCACTAAAAATAACAGTGAAAAAAACACCATGGAATTGCATTTTTAATTTTCCGTTACACCAGTGCATAAAGTAAACAAAAACAGATGTGATAGTTACGATTATCGATTTCGATAGGTCGCACATTTAAGCCAGCTGTTCCAAGTACAACACTTTCTAACTGCGCTATCCAACACTGAAAAAACCACACATTTATCAAATCTTCAAACACGAAAACACAAAATGGTAGAACTAGAGGGTTATGTCGGTAAATAAATAAACAAACGCTGTTCACGCCGTTGCTAATAGATTGCCCCATTTAGTGGTTCCACTGCGGACAACCCCGCAGGCCAAGTACTGCCACAGCGTTTACATGCGGGAGCACTTCATCCGGCTGATGGATCCCAACAAGCCCAAGGGTCGCACGCTCTTCCTGCTCAACATTCCGCCCTACGTGACGGAGGACAGCCTGAAGACGGTCTTCGGCCGGGCGGGGACCATAGAGGCCGTGGAGTTCGCCGCTAAGCCCGGCAAGGAGGAGACCATAAAGTGGTACGAGGGCACCGGCGAGCCGTTCTCCACCACGCGTCCGCCCTTCAGCTTCAAGGTGGCCTACGTGGTGTTCCAAAAGAGCAGCAGCATCGGCAAGGCCCTGGCCCTGAAGAGCATCGACCTCTTCAACAGCAGCGGCGAGTGCATCGTCCAGACCGGCATGCAGCTGTGGCACGAGGAGTACGAGGGCAGCTACCTGATGGAGACTCGGAAGGCGAAGCTACAGATCAACAAGTACATGGCCGGGTACGACAAGAGGGAGCGAGCCGCTGCGAAGGCGGCCAAGACCGGGGAGGCCGATGCCGACGGATGGGTCACCGTGGGCAAGGAGGGCCGCAACGCCGGCTTCGAGCAGAAGGCCTCTGTGATCGGACGCCTGGAGCAAAAGGTGGCCAGGGATCACAAGTCCAAGGAGCTGAAGAACTTCTACACCTTCCAGATACGCGAGAGCAAGATGCAGAACATCGTGGAGATGCGCAAGAAGTTCGAGGAGGACAAGCAAAAGATCGCGCTGCTCAAGCAATCGCGACGCTTCAAACCGTTTTAGTCAGTTCGCATAGGTTAAGCTTCGAATAAAACTTCTTTATGATACAGACCACATGCCCGAACTTCAGCTGGCCTGACCGCAGGCAAATCCCCATAAATTGGCTGCCGTCATTGACACTACCGCGACCAAATCCTGCCCACAACAGAATCCCACAGCAATGCCATAACTTATAACCGGCCGCAGTGAGAGGGCGCTCATAAAAGCTTATAAAAAGCAAACAACAAGAGAGCCAACTTGGGGATTGGAGACCGACGCAACGGCCGCTGAGCTTATTGTGTGATAATCACATTTGGTTTATGTTAATTTGAGAAATGATAAAAATATTTCGCTTATCAACTTTAATCATAATCGTCGCTGTGCCGTCGCCTTGCCCGAGACGCACTCGAAAACTCACTCTCCAGGTCCACGCAGCACGCGATCCCTCATCCCCGATCCGAGGAGGCTATTGCTGGCCCAGCTCAGGGCCGGACTTATTCAGATTTTTTGAAAAGAGGTTTGGGCTTATTTGCTGCGTAATATACATATTATGGTGTTGTATTTTGTAGGTTTGTAATGTACCGGGATGGTTTATGTTCCGATCACATATGTAGATTGTATTTGTTGAACGTATGTAACAATCGTTTCCGGTACTGTGGCGTATATACAATCCTGATCACGATCACATAACCAGTATAACGTCGATATTGCAGATTTATTACGCCAATTAAACGCAAAGTTATGCGGCCCACTTTGGTTTCAAGGGGTGTTACACAAATTTCGCAACGGAATTGCTTATGTATTATTAACATATAACTTTTATAATTACATGGTATTGCATTGAAAACTAATGATTTTGTTAAATGTAGCAATAGATATTGCTAGGATGACAGATAAGGGTAGCAAACTGACTTGATTTGTAATTCTTGTATTGTATTTTGTTAAATAAACAATTTTGTTAACAAATTACAAATCAGGCTTATTTATATTGCTAATTCTGCTTCGCTTAGCGATAAAATCATTTACTTTTTATTTTCGAGTCATGGAAATTCGATTATACTTTCATATTGGGGTTTCTTTTTCCCATCTGCTTATTTAACTGCATTATTGTTATTAAAAATAATTGATATTATGACGAAAATATTTATTTATTTATTTAACAAAATAAGCGTGAAACACAATGATAAGCACAATTAGTAGTTAGATGAAAATGTGATCTATTCCTTTTAAATTCACTTACATTTTTTGTATGGGTTAAAACTAAATTAATCTTGAAAATAGTGATTTATTTTTTAAGGGCCTACATAAGCATGTCGAAAAACATTTAATTTGCGAGATGTATGTACTTACGAGATGGAAGTATTTAATGAACTATTTTTCCACTTGACTCATCACTTAAGAAATGGGAACTGCCCTGGACCTCTGAGTCCGCCCCTGACCTGTGACCAATGCGAAGCGCATGACTCTTCGAAGCTCCAGACTCTAGGTAACACGAGATTTGGTGGAGACATGGGGAGTGAAATACAAACGAGGAACGCGTCGGGTAACGCATGCTGACGATGATCGCCTGGTTCTTGTGGCTTTTGCTGTTGTTGCTGGTGGCCTACTGTGGAGCCTGGAGACAGCCACACATTCATAATTTCTTCCGATTCGTATCGTTTATACATTTTAAATTGATTAAAATGCGATAAATCATAATCGCCAACGTCGGCCTGGCCCCAGACACTCTGGGACTTGGGAACTTGGGAACTCGGGATCTCGGGAACTCGGGACCATGTTCGGGTGATGGAACGATTTATGCGCCTCGAACATAATAAAGTGTTAACGGAACGAGTTATTAAGGTAGTCTAAATGGGCCCAAGTTAATAAAGGCCAAAAACAATTTGCATGGCCAGTGTTGCAGCGCTGAGATGCAGCGTCTAGGGTTGCATCTAGGCCTATATGCTGGGGCCCCAGCCTCCATCCCGGCTCAGCTAAGCTAAGCTATCCCATCGATAGACGGACACACAAGATGTCGAGAAATATAACATAAGCCGACCACACGTACGTCTCTCATGCCGCACAGCTGGATACCGAACCCAGTCCCAGTCGTCGTTCCTCGGTCCGCTCGGTTCGCCCGACGAGGAAAGGCTGAAACGCCGTGTCTTGTGAGCAGAACAATCAATAAATTTGAACACGTGAGCGGACGCGAATACGGACGACACTCAACAGGAACGACCGACCAAAAACCCCACAACAACAGCCACGACAATTCAGAGCGATAAGTGATCAGTGCGCCTTTTCGACTGATTGTTCGGAATTAATGTTTCAAAGGGTGAGTAAATACCCATGGAAGGTGCGGAATTACAATTTAGGAGCCACAAGTTTGTGCTGGAACTTGGGAGAAAAAGAATTAAAGCGACCCGGACTAAAACAATTAATTAATTAACACAAATATGTTTATTACATTTGGATATTTCGAACTTGAGCTCTTGAACCAATGTTCATCAAACTAGTTTTTATGCATGACCATCTAAATCTTTACAATAACCAACTGTCTTTAGCGAGTTATTCACTGAGGCCCACAAGCCTTCGGTGGATGGTTTCTGTAAGCCTTCAGATATTTTCAAGCTAATAAGTGGGTATTTTGCTCTTGATCAGGATCATAATCCTGTTCCGTATGAACCTTCAGATACGGATACTTTAAGAGCTAGAGACTTGGAAACTAACATGCAGATTCTAGCCCACGCAGTGCCACTTTAGTCTAAAATTTGGTGTAAAATGCAATACCCTCTGCAGGGGTGTCCTAAACCGTATTCAAATCACGAACGTCAAGAAAACAACTAGTAGCAATCGCCAAAATTGAACCATGGTGAGGAATCAACATCATCCGTTAATATGGGCTCCCTACGCGCCGTCGATGGACCGTAAAGATTGAACCGCCTGGAGCCAGCAACGACCTCGCGGTACCGCCTCACTGGAGTCCTGGACATGTGCAGCTCCATCAGGTCCCAGTCGTTGACGTCCCGGAAAACCGAACGAATCATGTGCATGCGGCCCAGCAGCTCGGTCTCCCGTAGTCCCTCGTACCTCCGGCCGGTGCGGGCACGGAATGTCTTGTAGACCTCGCTCTGCTGCTTGGTCTCCGTGGCCGTCTGTAGCTCCTTGCGGTAGAGGGCTCGGATTCCCCGGCCCAGGTGGCGAATGTGCTCGAAGTTCCGAACGTTGAGTGCCACCAGGGCTACGGCGTCCAAGTTTAAAAGCTTGTGTCCGTCAATGTAGTTCTCCCGAAATGTTTGCTGCAAGGTAAGTAAAACCCTTAGAAAGTGTGAATTGCACTTAAAGTACTTAATCAAGTCGATGGAAAGGCACATTCTAAAAATGGTCCCCTTGCTAATTATATTTGCATGGCCGTAGGACTAGACACTCTTGAATGCCCCATCTGTATATACAAACGGCATTTAACTGTTTATCTTAGCAACATTTTGATGTTGTTATTAATTATCGTGTTTTTATAGCCTAAATTATTTATTAATTTAAAAACAAATTCCACTGACCGACGAAAAAGTTGCGTTTTAAAATGGATATAAATGAAGGATGAACATTTTTTGTTTGTTGATTAGAGGAAGATCATTTCACTTCCACTTCCTATTGCTGCCAAGGGAGGATTTGCAGTAGGTCACTCGATTGACCAAACTTGTCAGCACAATGGCCTCAATGGCGACTTCGATCTCGTGCTTTATTTCGTCCATCGTCTCTGGATGGTTGGCATAGCACTTATTCTTAACGGCACCTCAAAAAATATAGTCCAACGGGGTCAAATCGCAGACGCGTGGCGGCCAGTTGAGATCGCCTTTTAGAATCGACTTAAGAAACCCTTATTCGTGGGAAGAAAGATAGCGGTCACCATTGACGGTTACGGCGGCTCCTGAATCCCTTTCCAGAAAAACGGGCCAATGCCGCCTGACCACACACCACAAGAAACAACACAACGTGCGGGTTTTCTTAGACCCAAATTCGGAAGACCTCGTTATTGGCGATACAAATGAGTTTCACTTGAAAAATTATTTATTTAAAAAATGCTCATCTTCTATCAAGGGCTCCTCGGCACATTGCGCGAACTGAACTTTTATATCCATTTAAAAACGAATTTTTTTTGTCTTTTTTTATATACTAGGTTTTCTGAAGTCTCTCTATTATACTTTTTTCAGGTGCGAATTTCTTGTATGTAAGTTTCAGCATGTTATGTTTTATTATATAAACCAACGTCCAAAACGCTAAAACGCCCATATATAGAAGACAAATATAAGTGCCAGACAGTTTGTATACAAAACAGTTAAGGTTCGACTTTGAAGTAATAAGAATGTTGTTATTTACATGAACATCCTTGAATGCTAATGCATATTACACATACCTCGTATTCAGGATAACCAAAGTTGCGCAGCCAGTCGGTAACATCGTTGATGCTCCACTTGAAGACTTCCGTGCGGGCCTGGGAATCCACGATAGCGGCGCAGAGATTGAACAGGGAGTCCGGCGTAGCCTTGAAGGGCAGTGGGACATCCCCCCTGTCGTACTCCACGTCGGGGAACATGTAGCTCGGGTAACGGAAGCTGAACTCCTCCTCCTCCTGCGGCGGCTCGCAGATGTCCGGGCTGTCCATTCCACCAGCGAAATGTAGCGGTGGCGACGGAACAGACGAACTCGAAGACGGAGACGGAGACGGAGACGTTGAGAACGACTCCATTCGAGTTGAAGAAGCGTACTGCTTCTTGGCTAAAACAAATTGAGTTGCCCCACAAAGTTTTGGTTGCGGTTTCCCCTCAGGAATAAGTGGTGTTCGTGTCTGTTACATAGTTTGCTTGCGTTTTCTTTGTTTCTCTTTCATTTATGGCATGCCCTATGATATTCCCCAAATGGTTTGTTTCTTATGCTACAAAGCTGAAGTTAAAGCTATAGTCTTAAAGTTTGAAAAAAGTTTCATAAAACTATTCTCAATTTCCCGTAATAAAGGCTGCATATTTGTCGAGAGAAGGAAAAAGTAACTACACAACACTTAGTTTAAATTAAAAATGTCCTAAAACATCTACGTAGAAAAACAAAATTCCTCTCTTTTGCTTTTTAGGGGATATAAAGTGTCACACTGGCAGCCTGTTTTCGCCTTTCATTTCTCAAAGTTGCATTTGCATATCCGTTTTTTTTTTTTGGGGTCAACTTGTTTGCCTGTGGTGCTAGGGTTTTTTGGCACCAAATCCGCCCGCTGGGGTGGGTATTTGCTGCCGGAAAGTATGCTATTTAAAGACAGTCACGTCAAGATTTCTATTAATAGCACGAGTTTCGATTCGCAATTCCACAATCTCACTTTAGTTTCTCAACCTGATAACATTTTATTCGTGTTCCTTTTGTTGGTTTTTGTTTGGGAATGCGGTTAGATTTACGGCCCCCGGCACAACTACCCACATTATCGACCGGCGTTACAGGTGGAGTTCGCGGAGATCGCTCACTTCCACGCGAGTTCCACGCCAATTAGACACACATTCCTCGGGCGCGAAAAAGAGATGCCGCATCGGCTGGCCGCTGACTCCGCCCACCGGAACGGACCGCTCGCATTGGCCACGAGCAACAGCAATCGCCATGGCCTCAGCGCAAGGGAACCGGAATCGCTGGGCCGCCTGTGTCTGTGTCTGTGTGGGAGTACGGGAACATATGGAGAAATCGGTAAACAAATCTCGGCGGCGGTCGAGGAAACAATCTCCGACTGAGCTAATGACACAGCGGCATGCTTGTGTGTAAACAACCGAACTGTGTAGCAAGTATCCCGTCCGTGCATGGCTGTGGCCACAGTGGAACCAACGCTACGGAAATTTCGATGACAGATGTGGAAAGTCCTTCACAAGGAAATTTTTTATATATAAGTTTTGTAAGCAAATTAACTTATAACTTATTTTGAAATATTTCAAATTAAAGTCAGACAATTGTTAAGAACGATCAGTACATAACATAAAATTAACATTTATTAAATCTTCGACCACGTTTTGATAACATCAGTATTGAACACGTTCAAAAAGTTACTTTTGTCTTTGAAGCCTGCGACAGTCATAGACCTTTGTGATTATCTCAACTCAGTCTTAGTACCAATTTTAAGTGTCTAATAAGAGCTTTAAGTTTCGCCCCTTTCAAAAATAAAATAAAGATATCTCACTTTTTTTTCAATTCCATCGCTTAGGAAACACTAACAATTAGAGATGCCCAGACTATAGATAAAGATGAAGTAAATCAAGTACTCTGATACCCACAGTCTGGTTTTAGACATGTCGATTGTATTATTACTATGTGTAGGTTAAATTTACCCAGGCACTGGATTTGATGCTTAAGATGTCAAAACACAGAAATAAAATCGTGGAAAAACAAATTTCATTTCAAATTTTTATCGAACGCATAGACTTAGTTGGCTGTTAGATTTAACAAGAATTTTCTTATGGCATGTTTGTTCAACCTTTTCTTCCTTTCTTCCACAAATGTACGAATATTGCGTGTAAACTCAAAGTAAAAATCTGAAAGGACAACTCGAAAAACCAATTTTGCCCCACTGTAAGCTTTGGGTACACAATCTCCGCGAGATTAACCTAACCGCCAAACTGTTCCGCCTTGAGTGCGCGATCGGCAATCGATCGTTGGCTGAGCGAGCTCCCTGGCCGGTTCCGATCAGTTCTGAGTGGAATGTCTTGCTAAGCGGTCTGTTCGAAGGTGCACAACAGCAACAGCACCAGTTTCGCGATCGTTTTCGTGTGATTCCAAGCGACGGTGTGACGACGGGACATGAATCGCGGAACCTTCCTCTGATAAAACGGATATACCCCCCATAACCGAGCAATGTTACTGCAGGAGTGTGCCGCCAGCATGGAACAGAGTATGCCCGAGAACCTCAGCACTCACATGTTCGGCGAGTGTGAAATGAGCCCAGCCCTTGCGAAGTGTCATGATCCGGTGGAAACTGATCGAGATCTGCAGACCAAAGAGTCCTGTGCCCCGGCACCAATGGCCAGTTCGTCGGCAGCCACAACCACAAGCACCACAACCAAAGTGAAGTTGAGTTTCAGTGTCGATCGGCTGCTGGGCTCCGAGTCCGGCGAGTCCCACCGGACCAGCTCTTCGTCGCCCTCGGCCAGGACCTGCTGCGATGGCAGTGTCTTCTCCTGCTGCTCGTTTCCACACTGCTTTGGCCAAGCGAATGCCGAGGCACGCAGGTTGGGACACGTTCCGCTCCCTGTGTCTGCGGCACCCACGTCCATGCACCCATATCCTTATGGGGGACTTGACAAACTCTATCCTAGCCTGTACATGGATTACAAATCAGTGCTGAGGCCGACCCCGATTCGTGCGGAAGAACACGGTGAGATAGTGAATACACTTTTTTGCCAGTGGGGGAAACCAAAAAGAGGCAAAAGGAATAAAGCGTTTGAGGAATATTAAATATTTTTAAATATCACAGTGGGCAGAACAAGTTTAAGAACACTTATAAGCACTTTCAGTGCAAAGTGGTCTTAAACTGTATACTACACCTTATATAGCAGCACAAAAAATCTTTTACGGACGATTTCCCAATTTTAAGGTTCTAGTTTGTAGTCTGTAACAAATGTTTCCATACAACAAATTTGCTTTCTTGATGAAGTGTCAACTAACATGACATGTCGACCCACGAAGTGGATTGCAATTCATAGCGCCAAGCCTTAAATAGCAAATACATTCCTCCTCATATTTGTTTGCCGACTAAAAAATAATACCTAGAATATTCCATCTACTTAAGTGTTATCGGTCAGATACATTTTAACATTACGAACAACAATTTAAAAACTTAAGGTGTCATTAACAAATGATACAAAATATGTTGCCTACATAAGGTGAGACTTTTCAGCAAACCTAATTATACCCCTTACTCGTAGAGTAACAATAAAAAGTATGTAACAGATTTATGACTCCATAAAGTATATATATTCTTGATCGGCATTCATAGCCGGGTCGATCAGATATGTCTGCCTGACTGTCTCCGTGCATAAACACTGCGATCTCGAAAGATTTCGTTTACAAACCGAGTAAATCTGTCCATTATTTAAGTGATAATTTGTTAAAATATAACACATTTATCTTTTAGTAGTAGGTACCGGGTAGGTTTTGCGGAGTGTACCATTCTCAAATAAAAGAACTAAATATTATTGCCTGTAAAAATATTATCAAAAAATTGTTTTTATAATAGCTCTCTTTTATCCGCAATACTTTATTGTGCAAAGGATGACTGCAAAATTTCATTTAGATTACAATTACATTTCTTTTTGAGTTACGTTATGCACCGACTCGAAAAAAGGAGTTTAAATTTTTATACCCTTGCAGAGGGTATTATAATTTCAGTCAGAAGTTTGCAACGCAGTGAAGGAGACATCTCCGACCCTATAAAGTATATATATTCTTGACCAGCATCACTAGGAGAGCCGATCTAGCCATGTCCGTCTGTCCGTCCGTCTGTCCGTCCATTTCTACGCAAACTGGCCTCTCAGACTTAAAGCTATCTGGATTAAACGTTCTTAAGAGTTGTCTTTCTATTTCAGTTAGAATAAAATCCGGTACGGGACGGATCGAACGACTATTAAATATAGATTGTGAAACAAACAAAAAAAGGAATTGAAAAAATTTTAATTTTGCTGTTTCAATTCGTTAAAATACCCTTTGAGAGAACTATATCATATAACTGCCATTGGAATGAGCGAAAAATGTACATATCATCATTGGTTTTAAACATATACCCATTATGATAAATATATTTGTAGTAGTTTCGCATTGTCAATAAACTGCATAGAAACGTACGGTCATTACGACAGCAAAAGGATTTTGAAGGAACTCAAGGTGGGCCCGAAATATATATACATAAATATTGGCGGGAAAAACTTAAGATCGATCGTTCCTTTCTGTGTCCATGATCACGGCATATGTTGAGGGCTATATCAAATCGCCTAATGAGGCCAATCAAGAACATTTAATAATGTATGAATATTTAAGGATGGAATAGTTTTTTGCATTGCATTACATAAGTCTATTAAAAAGTATAATACTTTTTGGTAGGATATGACAAGAAAAGGAACTGGGAAAGTTAACATTCCTGGAAACACAAATAAGCGGCATAACCTCAATAAATAATTCATTTTTATTTGAATTATTAATTGATCTGTATCCATATTGTGCAATATTCCTGTAGCCAACTGTTCCCCGCTTCTTGGACTTGACGAAAACAATTTGTTTGTGGAAATCGACAACAAAATAGTCGAAAATGTTTCGGGTATTTATGTTACTTCCTGCTGCTTTTGTATATCTGGGGACGACGACTTCTCATAGACTGCAGGCTGGCAGCGCACTTTGATCTTGTTTATATGAAAATAGGGAGAAACATAATCTGTAAATGTTTCGGTTTTCGAATAGAAATTGTTCATTGTTTAACAAGCTGCTTGGATTTTATACATCTCGTTTGCCTAGTCTTTTCTCATTCACTTTTATATACAACTACACTTATCAAGTGGCTGCTAACATGCTGAGGACTATTATTGATTGCAGAGAAAGGAAAAGTTGAATTAAATAGTCGGTCGTCTTATCTGCTTCCTTTTTTTATAAATTCTTAAACTATATTTATAATATTTAACACCATCTAAGGTTGAATGTGCCCAATTCCATTTATTTGCCAAAGTGTGAAACCAAATTAGCACCCAACTAAAGTAAATTAGCCTTCCCACCACCAAAAAACATTTTTGAAAATTATAATCAATGTTAAACAGTTTTTAAACACATTTGCGATGGCAAGAATTGAAGGGCAACAAGTAGGAGAATAAATTCGACATTGCCTCAATCAACAAGAGATCGGTTAAGAAAACAGCAAAGTTTCATCAATCCTGGGGCCACCTAAAATAAATTAAATTCAAAAGACCAAAGCCGAAAATTAACCACAATTTATGAACAAATTAAGAGTCAGTCTTTAAAAATAAACTTCAAGCTCGTGCGGAATGTGGAAAACGTTTGTGGAGAAGAGTTTGTTTATTTGCTTGAGCAATTGGCCCGTCATTCATGGGCAGCTACAGATAGCTATTCATCTAATTGCCTTCGATAATGAATTGTTCCGCTGGCGAAGAGATTAGGAAGGCAAAGGAGTCACTGATAGATCCATCAAGGGGAAGCGAAGGTGTACAGTGTACATGGAGGGTGGAGGGAACTTTATCCTGTAATGCCGGGGGTCTTTGATAGATTGGGCGCCACGGGTCCAACTACTGGGACATAGTCGATGGTGCTGGGCTGCCGTTCCGGCTAATGACGAGGAATGACTGCCTGATGGACTGAACGAATAAATACCTGAGTGACTGTTTGGGTAAAGGTGAAGCTATGCGGCGTTTCTGGGGGCCAGGCCAAAGGCTAAGTATTTACACAACCACCCACTGTGGTGGCCTTTCCAGGAGGAGGCTACTCTGCGGCTGCCTGCCGAGTCCAACTTGCCGGCCTCTGCAGAGTTATTCCGTGATGGATTGATTGCATCGCATCGCACATCATAAAATCATGGGCCAAGCCAGATCTCTTCGGTTCTGGCAACAACTATTTGTTGCTGTTTGCCTGTCCCGCCTGGTGATGAGTAGTTTGTTGTTGCCTTTTTGGTTGCGGACCGATCGATCGATCGACCGATTGATGAAACAGACTATTGTCTGATATGGAAATTCTGTTTAAACAATAATGCGGCGCCGTGTGTCTAATTAATTAACAATTTATATGTTAATCCAACTGTTAGATGCACTTTAAGAGCGCCCAAAGATCTCTGATTAATGATCACCATAAGTCGATTTGGTTTGGAACTTTAAAGATGCTTTGAAGTTCCCAGCAGCAGGGGAGGGCCGCTTGTAGCAGTAATAACTACAGCTCTCTGAATTCGAATCATCGGTAATTCAGTGATATTAATAAATAGGGAGATCAGCTTGAACTCCCTTAGGAAAAGCGAAAAACAAATTCATTTTTTAGTATTAACCTTAACTTATAAATTTCCACGCAAGCCTATAGTATAAGCCGATTCGAAATTTGCGCTTGCTTTAAAAAAACCAGATACTTTATGTGACATTTTTATAGTTTTTAATGCCACATATCGATATAATGGCAAGATGACTATAATTTCAGTTACAATTTTTTTTTCAACTTTTTCGTAACTAATATAAGTCTCCCAAAAGAAGGTAACTGAGTTGTCGAATCAAATAGACAATGAGACCAAAGCATCGAAATTTATTTAATGGTTGCCAAATCTCTGACTTCCTGTTCGTAAATACATTTTAATCAGTAATAGCTTTAGTGACTTATAAAGTTTTGAAAAGGAATGTGATTGCTCTTTTAATGATAATTTGTTTTACTTAAAATGAACTACGAAGTCATAAGTTCAACTGCTAAGAAACGAAAACTATGTACAATACATATATTCTTAGAAAAGTCTCATTTTAATGACCTGTTTTTGATCAATAAAAAAGCCGTCTCATTGGTTTTCACAAAAGCTATTTATATTACAGACAGTGGCCACCGTTGATAGTCAACAACTATGTTTCCATCTTTTTGGAAGCCTGATACAAGTTACATTACACTTTTATAACAACATTCCTAAATGCAACTTATATATGAAGAAGTATTATTTTCTAACAAGTAAATAGCACAAAAAATTGTATGCTTTGGGAGTTAATGAAAGAGAAAAGCAAAAGCTTACATAATCTTGAAGAAAGAAATGGTTTCTTATACAAAATAAATAAAAGTTTTAAAAATAAAATAAAATACTAGTTAAAAACCTGTTTTTAAAATTAAAAAAAGATCTAAATTCCGGGTTACATTCGTATTTTTTGAAAATAATAAATTTATATCGATTTTCCTGTTTATTTTCCCATATTTCTTATGGCAGTCACATAATAAAGTAGTTCGAATTTTATAAAATTAAATCTGTATTTTTTTTTGTGGATTAATATATTTTTTATGTTATAGGGTGGCAAAAGTTTTTTTTCTTCATTGAAAACTTATGAGTAAAAAATTTATCTTATGTGTTTAGAAATTTTCTTTAAAAGCGATAACAATGGTTATTTATGGTTAAAAAAAAAATCAACTTGAAAAAGTATGCGTTGTGACAGAGATTTCGAAAACAATTTGCATTTTATCTAGTGTCTGAGATTTTATTGTGCTTTTCCCAAAAGATCATTCGCAGTTTACCCCAAAATAAGACAAACCGAGAAATATGCAAGAAGTCGTAAATACGGATTATCCCTGCAACCCGTGCAAATAAATCGATTTAAACTTAAACACAGCTGCAAAATTTACGATTCACGGATACTGCAGCGCGCATTGCATTGGCTCTCGAGTGATTTAAGATAGCACGTCGAAATTATCACAACTCATTAAGATATTTACCGGGCTGCGGGATTGAGGCTCCCGGTATTTATAAAAGAATCCCAAAGTCGGCAATTAATGAGCTCGCGCTGTGAGGGGACCACGGTGCCCCCGCACAACACGAAGGTGTTGAAAATCGGTGAAAACTCATTTTAACAAACCCCCGATGGTTGACACAAACCAAATGCCAAAGAGGCCAATTAATGCGTTATTAGCCTCTGCAGATGTACAGAAGGCAATGGCGTTGGAGATTCAATTGTATCCACAAGTGCAGGAGCGCATTTCCGTTGCAATGTAAATAGACACGAACGCGTAGTGTTTTCCTTAAGTAAATAAAACGTTCTCCATGAAAACAATTAGGCGCATGCCGGTAAACCCCAAACAAAACAAAAAAAGGCAATAAAAAATTCATAAGCTAATTTAGCGCTGTCAAAAAACCAAGAATGGTCCACTTTACACCCAGAGAAAATATGTTTTATCGCCAATTATATATAGTCGAATGACACGTCTTTCAAATACCAGTTACCTTGGTAGCCACTTTTTAAAAATATGATACCCTAACAGATGTCTTCACTTGCAATTTTATTGGCAACCAAAAACGTTTCGGCGCCATCTCACGTTTATGGATACCATACTTATTGACAGTGCTAACGTAATTGAATTATTTTTGTTTTACCTTCGGAAACAATTTTGCAATTGGATCATTTTTTGTGGGTTGACATATATTGATCAAATAAATATATACCGCAAAAAAGGATTTATCAACCGGATATCTGTAGCGATTCACGATTTGTCAGCTTTGGACGCCCGCTCTAACAAACAACAAATTTTTAAAAGTATCAGAAGATTATTCTGTTTTCCCACGCCAAGTAAAGCTAAATAATGCTGTAAAAAATGTAAATAAATATCACTCTGAAAACTCTTTAAACTAACATTAAGACAAACAGACAAACAGATTGTAAAACCGAATTTAAAACATACAGAGGACTGTAAATTGTCCCATTTAATATATATTATTTAGAAACGTTATAAATTCGGTGAAATTAAACGATCAAAGATTTTACTTAAACGGCATATTCCAAAAACATCAATATTTCAAGCGCCAATTTTTTTTTATCGCGGTGGTGAATTGATTGTGTGTTTCAAAAGTAGTAATTGGGTTGTTCTAGTTTTATGGCGCTCATAATTCAAATACAAATACAAATGCAATGGAAAAATACAAATGATTCAATAAAAATAAATGAAGTTAGATTTTAGAATTCCAATCACCATATCGTAATTCTTCAACCAAAATTTTTAGTTAAAATCCTCTATATGCGAATATTTGAACCTTAAAAGCCGAAAAAATTACCGCTGCTATAGTAAAGTTAGTAATGCTCATGTAATTATGTACGTGATTACTATATCAAAATACTTAGATACTATTCGACGTATACTATACGTACACGTAATTAAAATATATACATATGCATGTTTTTCTACTTTTAGAATATATCATCCTGTAAACTTTAAACAAAAAAACTAGTTTGCGTAGAAACGGACGCACGGACAAAAAGGCGGTCAGATAATATATATATATATATATAGATCGAGGAGCCAGTAACATTAGGCTCCGTCTTTTCGTCTAAAATTTAAGCTTAAAGAAAGCTTGCACAATTCCATACTCTGTGTATAACCTGAGAAATAGAAAACATGTCTAACTTAGATATTCAAAAAGCGTTTAATGAAAGGAAATCACTCGGATTCGACCTCAACCTCGTGTGCCCCATGTCGTGCTCGATTACCCCAAATAATTCTCGCTCTCTACAGATAATTGTTTTTGTTTAGATTCCCGCTAGAGGTAAACAAATTTTTTCGCCCCTAGCCACAAAATGCTACAATGATTATTTCAAATTAAGTGAAAATTTTATTATAAACAAACCCATTTAAATATTTTCAACGTGAATTTTATTAATCAAAATAATTTACTCAAAACAACGAAATAATTTGTGAGTTCCATATTTTGGCTGGTGAAATAATTTTGTTTTGGAACCGGGATAAATGTATTATTTCCTCCGGATACACTCTACAGTGGGGGAGGATGTTGCTCAAAAGCAATGGTGGTATTCTTATAAAAATAAATAACCGAATGGTTGTGTAAAAAACGCAGCCGGTATGGGCGGAATAAACAATTATGGTTTCAACAAAATAAGAGTTATCGCATATCGAGGAAGCGAAGCATTGAAATCACCTCTCCATCGACTCTAACACTTTATGTTTCCAAACTCTACCACCAAACAGCCGCACCCACCTATCCATCGCTGGCCACCAACGCGCTCCTTCGCTTCCATCAACATCAGAAGCAGCAGCACCAGCAGCACCAGCAGCATCAACAGCATCAGCAGCACCATCCAAAACACCTCCATCAGCAGCACAAGCCCCCGCAGCACAGCTCGTCACTGCTGGCGCCTCTTCACAGCCTCACGACCTTGCAGTTGACGCAGCAGCAGCGATTTCTGGGCAAGACGCAGCCACAGCTACTGGACATCACGCCCACGGCGCCGGCGGCAGCCACCTCACAGAATGGCGGTTACCCACAGCAGGGCAGCAGCTCTAATCCGAGTAACTCGGGAAGCAGCGGCAACGGGAAGCGCAAACGCTCCTGGTCCAGGGCCGTCTTCACAAATCTGCAGCGCAAGGGGCTGGAGATTCAGTTTCAGCAGCAGAAGTATATCACCAAGCCAGATCGGCGAAAGCTGGCGGCACGGCTGAACCTCACCGACGCTCAGGTGAGTCTGAAATATATTTTATTTAGATTTAGTACTCGTTTTTAATTTAGGACACAAAGTATTACAGTTCAGAACCTTTTTTTTATAGTTTTATACGTGTAATTTTAAAGATCAATTGGAATGATTTTTAAAAAATTCTAAAATTATTATTTTTTTATCTAGATGTCGTTGGTTTTTATTTTTTCTTTATGCTTGGCAGATTTTGTGGCGTGTTTCCGACGGGGTAGTTGGTTTTAAGATCGAACAGCACAGATAAAAATGTTCTTCTCTGAATTCGCACGTCCAACATTTTGTCATATTATATTGTTTGTTCTGTTTAACGCGCTGAATCTTAACTTGCCAAAAGGGTATTTGGGATCAGTAGTCGTCATAACTTTTTGCAACAGCCAAAGCGTTGTGTGCTCAATTCAAGCCCCAAGAGGTAGATTGAAAATTATAAAATCTGCGTCTTGGATTCGATCTAGCTAAAGGCTATGTTTTTAAATGCTACAAGAAGTTTGTGCTGGATGGCAGAGTCACAATTTCCGAAAACCGCAATGAAACAAAAATGTAAGGGCTTAAGCTTCCATTTTGCACCAATCTATACTTGCTTTATTATTCTATAAAGCATATTGAAAAAAATAATGAACTGATTAATTAATTAAATAATTAACAATAATATTCAAAGACTGGAAAATGTGATTGATCACGCTTGCCCACTCTGCTCAAAAAAAAGTCTCTAGAATTAATTTTTGAAATTACTCAAGGAAGGTAACAAAAACCACATTTTAGGCAAAAACTCGTAGATGTTCAGGGATGATAAAAAGTGTTTACACAATGAACAATTATTTACCTACTTCATCTAATTATACCCGTTACTCGTAGAGTAAAGGATATATTGTTTCTTGAAAAGTATGCAACAGTTAAAATGATGTGTTTCCGACTCCACAAAGTATATATATTTTTATGATCAGGATCAATGCCGAGTAGCCATGTCCGTCTGTCTGTCTGTCCGTCCGTATGAGTGTCGAGATCTTTCATGTTACTCTGAATCATGATAGCCCTTACTTATTGTGCTGTGTGTGTGTGCTTCGGTTATATCTATGGCTAGAACCAAACATTTTTAGAGTCGTGCTATTTGATTAACACGCTATGGAGTTTTTTTATAATGTGGCTGTGGTGATCGCTGATGTAGAGAGACACAACGAAAGAACTGTTAGCGGGGTTAACGGTGAAGTTCGGTTGATTTTTGTTACTTAGTTTGCTTACTAAGTGAAATTGAATTGAATTTGTAAGCTTAGTACCGCGCATCTAATAGTCTGGGAATTCGTCTAAAGCGTTCTTTCTTGTTTTGGATTTTAAAGTTGTTGTTAAAGCCAAAATTCAAAGAAAAAGTAGTTTTTGCACAGCATTATCGATAAAGAAGGAAGTCAAACAAGCGGAAAAGATAATGGTTCATAGGACAAAGTTGAAAACAAATGAAAATATTTTTGAGGTACTTACATAAATCATAGTTTTTAGTGAGCTTTGAATAAGTGCAGTTGTGTTCTCTTAGTTGAAGATCTTAGAAGTGTAAAGTTGCGAACTTCGTATAAAAAATGATTACAACAAAAAAGTTATTTATAGAAATTCGTTCTGAAAATGTTAGCAAGTTTAAATTTGGAATCTCAGCCTCCAAATTGGTCAAGTTTTACAAAATTTCCGGGAAAAACTGCTTACAGTTTAGCAAAACAAAAAAAGAATTACCGTTTTTAACCGACACGGTTGTAAAACCTGTTTTCAATCAAAGGAAGTGTAGACTAATTAATGGAACAGTAATCGAAAATCCTTCAATTAGTCCTGTTAAAGTCACTAAAAGTCTAATTGGTTAGCGATAGCACACTGCGCCCCAGATTGAAAGAAATTTATCATAATACAAATGTTGTTCGATAAGTGATTGATGTTACCGGTGCGAACCAAGCAAACCGGGTTGCATTTGCTTTGGAGTACCTCAAACGGCCAATAGAGTTTTAGAATAATCATTGCAATTCCAAGGATCGGTCGAAAAGCAATTTATGCATCTGTATCAACGGCAAAGGAAGAACAGCCTCTTAACAAATTTGCGGGTAGCTCATTAATGTTTGATGATTGTTCCTATGGGAGCTATATGCTATAGTCGTCCGATTTTAATGAAATTTAAACCGTAAATCAGAAATATTTTACCATTACTAAATGCCCAAGGACTAAACAACAAATTGAGAAACAGCAAAGTTATATTTTTGTATACCCTTGCAGAGGGTATTATAATTTCAGTCAGAAGTTTGCAACGCAGTGAAGGAGACGTTTCCGACCCTTTAAAGTATATATATTCTTGATCAGCATCACTAGTAGAGTCGATCTAGCCATGTCCGTCTGTCCGTCCGTCTGTCCGTCTGTCCGTCCGTCTGTCCGTCTGTCCGTCCGTTTATATGCAAACTAGTCTCTCAGTTTTAAAGCTATCTGCATGAAACTTTCCCAAAAGTTGTATTTCTATTGCAGGTAGTATATAAGTCGGAACGAGCCGGATCGGACGACTATAGCATATAGCTCCCATAGGAACAATCGGAAAAATAATTGAAAAAAAATTATAACTTTGCTGTTTTTTAATTTTTTGTTTAGTTCTTCGACGTTTAGTAATGGTTAAATATTTCCGATTTACGGTTTAAATTTCTTCAAAATCGGACGACTATAGCATATAGCTCCCATTGGAACAATCGGACCGTACTTCTGAACAATATACCAATAATTTCGATCGAAGTATATTCAAATCAATTAAAAGACAGCGAGGTTATAATTTTTTCATATATTTTTCCGATTGTCCCCATGGGAGCTGTATGATATAGTCTTCTGATCCGGCTTCTTTAACTTCTATGTTAACTGCTTTTAAACTGACAGGCTAGTTTGCGTAGAAACGAGTGGACCGCCAGACGGATGTGGCTAGATCGACTCTCTAGTGATGAAGATCAAGAATAAACATACTTATAGGGTCGGAAATATATCCTGCTTTGCGTTGCAAACTTCTGACTAAAAATATTATTTTGAATTATTGAATTTTTTTGAAAATTATTGTGGACAAATTATTAAATTTGATAGATTAGATATACGTTTTTAATTTTATTAAAATCGGATTACGATACCATCGGAATACGGTTCATAGGAACGATCGGATAGTTAAGCTTAAAATCATCATAGCTTAAATGTTTTCAAACATATACGCATATAAATCGAAATAAAGAACAATTAATTTTTGCTATATAAACTTCGGCTTGCCGAAATTTGCTTCTTTCCTTTTTTTTGTGTTGTTCTAGTAATAGAAATGGTTTATTATTTCAGAAATACTGTTTTAAGTTTATTATAAGCTTAGAAACGATCGAGTAATTCTCTGGAGAATTATAATAACTTCACTGCTTTAGGGAATTAAAAATCAAAAAATAGTTGTTTTATAGAATTTTTAATTTTTGCAATTGTTGTTGGCGTATATAAAATTCGGCTTGCCGAACTTTTCTTCTTTCTTGTTAAATGATTAATTAAGTAATTAATTAAATATAATATTTGTTTTATATGTGCACTACCTAGGTCAAGGTTTGGTTCCAAAACCGACGCATGAAGTGGAGGCATACGCGGGAAAATCTGAAGAGCGGCCAGGAGAAGCAGCCCACTGAGGTACCAGGAGGTGGACGTGGGATCAAGGCTTCTACGTTATCGGGAGGAAGTACTCCCCATGAGACTCTTGACTATAGTTCCGATAGCTGTTCGAGCGTGGATTTGAGCGAGCAGGCCGAAGACGATGATAACATTGAAATTAATGTGGTTGAGTAGAGCTACATATGTTTTACACAAATTGACATCTACTCGCCTGTCGAAATCGTGTTACACATGTTAAATGCCATGTAGATGTATTTATTTCAATCGCTACGAGCAGTAATGTAGATAAATACTAAAAAAAAGTAAATTTAAATTATACAATATACTTATTTATTTTAAAATATATTGCCTTACCAACTGGAAGACTTTTATTTAATTAGTTGCCTTTATAATTAAGTTCAGTGGTTTTTCTATCCATCTGTGTTTTCCATTCCGCAACAAAACGATTTCGGGCAATAACAATAAGTGATATTAATACGCAATGCCCCTTTCATGCGCAACGCGCCAACAACAAAATTTAATTAAGGGAATACCGCTGCGATCAGCAGAATATGAAACTCGGCGACAACTGGGAGACCTTCTCTAATCAAGACAATGATAAAAGTCGATAGGCCAAAATGGGGAAAACAAACGACTTGAGTCAGTTGGTCAGCGCGGGGACAAGGCAATCCATACGTAAGATCAGAGGGATGGAGCTTTAGAAACGGAAACACAGCCGATAGAGAGTACTAATTAGACAAACAGTGAGAGTAAGTTGTTGGTGCACGACATTGAAATATAATATTACTCACTCTGCATGTTTGTTATTGTTGAGATATTCAGTGTTCTTCCAAAAAAAGTTGGTCAGTCGCTTGAAAAGTTTATGCAAGTTCTTTTAAATTTCAAAACTTTACAAGTTTCAAAACTTGGATAATTGCAAAGTGTAGAAATACTTTAATACCACACATAATATTATGACAAAATAAATAAAACCTTCTTCCCAATTTAAAAGTGGCTCATGCAAAATAATATAATAGAGAGTATCTTAAACCTGTCAATTAATCAGTTATCTTAGGTTTTGATTTTATCTTTTTTTCGTCAACAAGAAATTTTTCTACAGGGCATTCAGTCGTCGGTCTTCAATTTGTACGCAGTTAAAGTTCTCTTGAGATACATTTGCTCAAGTTCAGTTGCTTTCCCAAAAGCGCAGCGCGCGGTTGAGTTTTAGTTTTCAGTTGGTCGTTTGGATCTGTGCGTAGAACTGAAGAGGATTGCTGGCATTTGGCATTATGGGGAACATGCAAGCCCGACCGTCTGAGGCCCGCAATGTGCCGAACCGGAGAAGCAGTGAGTGATAGATTCCTTGTCACTTGAATCATTATGGCCTATTTCGTAACCGTTTCGAAGGCATGTTGAAGAGCTTTCGGTACTCGAGCGCTCTGCACCGTCGCGAAGATTTGTCCGTCATGGTTCACAACTCTAGGATGAGCATTACTGAATGGCTGGATCTCCTAGAGCTGCAGCAGTACGAAGGTTTGACTAGTGAGCAGATTCCAACTGAGATCTAATATCGTGCTTGCCAGGAAACCTTCAGGAGTTCAGCTTCGTGGACGACGTGGTGGACATAACAGATAAGGAGCTCAAGCAACGTGGAGTGCGCGGTGGCCACCGCCAGACGATGCTCAACAGTCTGCTGGGAGTCCGAGCGAAGCGACGCCAATCTATGAATTTGGAAGGCAAGTCAAGTGCAGAGATATCTGTAATCTAATTCCCCCAAAGAGATATATCTGTTATAGCTGTAAGCAGTGCCCCGCAAGTAGTTTGGCGGCGGAAGAACTCCTGTCCGCTAGTTAATCTAGGCGGGAGTTCCCCAATTATGGCGGGAAGTCGCGATAACGGACCCGGCGTGATTATCACCAAAAGCGGAAAGATTCTTAAGCAACTCACCATCGATGAAACTTCCACAGTGTAAGTGCGAATTTAAATTTTACACAATGTGTATAGACAATAGTTGATATGAAAAGAATGCATTGTATACGTGCGAAAATTCGGGTGGCCAAAATTGTCATCCGTTCTAGAGTTTGATGATCAAGTATACACGGTTATGAGTTTTATTTGAAAAACCTGCTTGCTTGTATACTTTTGCACAGTGTATTATAGTTTTGGACGCAGTGAGCCTTGCGACCCTATAAGGAGTATATCTACACATATTCTTGGTCGAACTTACCCTCAAATTGACACCTATAGTAGCATAACAGCGAAATTTTGGAAACTATCAATATGATCTTTTGTGTGACAATATGCCTCTATCCAATTGCCAAGTTTACCCTTGCAAAGGGTAAATATATATCATATATCTCCCATATGAAAAATCGGAAAAAACTAACTTAATATTAATAACTTCGCTGTTAACAAATAGAAAAAAGTTATATAAAACAGAATTACAGTTTTAGTTTTGTTAAATTCGGACGACTTATCATATAGCCCCCACTAGAACAATCACAAAAGAAAAAAAACCAAGAAAAGAGGCCAAAGTTTATAAACCCATCGCAGCTCTTTCTAAAATTTAAATATTCCTAAAAAACAACAATATTCCGATTTTTATGCGATCCTTGGGCATTTTAATGAAATTAAAATCGATTATCCAAAATAAACGAGAAAGAAAGCTATAGTCGAGTTTCCCGACTATATCATACGCATTACTCAGCCAACAGACTTCTACTTAAATATTCCTGACTAAAGCAATCGAGGATTAGGTGGCGCCATCTGTCGAACAGCGTAGCCAAAACTAGAAGCTATGAGCGTGCAGCACCCCCGCATCCCGCTAACAGTTCTTTTACTCTGTCTCTCTCTTGAAGCGATTACCGGCAGAGCAGCGGTCGAATAACGGCAGAGGACTTAATAACCCTATAACTTCTAAAATAGTACCTCGATTTTGAAAATTTTTAAATCAGCAAAGAATAGTCCGATCTTAATATAGCATATTGTTAATAGAATAGCATAGCATATCACTAAAGACGATAGTACATGTAGTGACGCTGCACAAAAGAGCGCGTGCAAAGGAGACTACTATATAAAGCCGCAGAATTGAAAATCTGCTGTGGTGATCTGATGGTAACGAGTAATACACCAATCGAAAGGTATCGTTAAATGAATAAGGATTGCATAGCAAGGAAAATTATACTTTACGAAAATAATTTGTTCAGGAGAAAGGGCGCTGAAAGTGACATTATAAATATTCCACTTTTTTAGCACAGTTTTAATTTTGTTGAAAATACTCGTATAATGCCACCCAATTAGCTTGGATCCGATGCTCCGTTCAAAAGTTATTCATTTCGTTGGATATATTTCTAAATGAAAATTTACTGTTTACTGTCAGTTTCAAAAATTGACTTGTTTTAGAATTCTGGAATAAATTTTCATGTGATGGGCAAGTCGTTACAAAAAAAGTTGTTCTTCGACTTTTTTAAAAACTATTTTTTTTTAGCGGGGAATCGCTTAAAATAGCTAACCCTTGCTCGGCTTCATTAAACTAGTGAAGCTATGGACAAGTAAAATATGTCATTAAAAATAATTGCCAAATGCTAATTACGTTGCTTTTACAAAATTGGTCTAAATAAAATAGTTAAAAAATAATTTTTTTTTTAAATTTTAGAAAGTTATCAAATCCAATTTTTGTTTCACTCTTTACTATATTGGTAAAAAAAAATGTTGCAGCATGAATGATTTTTAAAGTTATTAAGCAAGAATTTCTTCCTAAAAATAAGCACCATTAATTTGATGAGGAAAATGCTATACAAAAATAATTTAAGCAAACTAATATGATTGATATTAAATTGAAGTATAGCAAAAGTTTTTTTTTGTAAAAAATGGTAATAACATTATGTGCTTTAACAATATTTCAAACAAAGACTTCTGATACAAAAAAAAAATCCTCTTAAAGACTTTTTTTATCTCATTAAGAGGTATTTTTTTTTGGTATTGTAAGAAAGGTAGTTTGTGGAGTAATTTTCGTTTCCTTGGCATAATTTCTTCAAGTAAAAAAATTAAGGAATTATAGCCAAAATTTAGTTTTCGTGTTCACATTTTAGTGATTTTTTTGAAAACGCCAGTATAGATAGAGTATAGAGATTACGCAACTTTTGATATATAACACACTTTTCTCTAAAAATTCGCTTTAGATAGCTATTCAGCGTTATAAAATTCAACATATTTCAGATCCTTATAATAAGCATGTTTGTTTATTTCTTTATTTATGCTTATTTGCATGCCCAAAAGTCTATGCCAAGCCAATTTTAAAATTTTTATTACAGCTTTTATAAGAAAAATGAAAAAATATGCAAGGGTGTTATAGACAAAAATAATTTTTCTATGATCAGGGGTCGGAACTGTATTCTTCGGTTTTTTCAATGTAGTAGTAGTAGGAGTTTTCTTTATTTATAAAAAATACAATGAGGAAACGGCATTACACATTTACAATTAAAGAGATTTACATATATTTTTACAAACAGGAAAAGGAGTATTTATATATACGACTTGGTTATTTTAACCGTCCGTCGATCGATTTTTATTAATCTTTCACATTTCTTTTGAGCTGTTAGAACTATTTAAATATTTCTGCTTACTCAGAAATGAATAATATCTAACTATTGTCAACAGTAAACTGCTTCGTAGATTAATCTGCTCCAATGATCAATACTTTTGTACAACTGCCAACAATTTTATTGTTGACACCCGCATCGGTCATTTTAGATGAAACAGTGCTGTACAATTTCCAAGCATTGTTAGAACTGTGTGCTATGTATTTTCAATAGACAAGTGACAAGGAACGACTCATGGTCTTACTACTCTTTTATTGTTACCAAGTTTTGAAAACAAAAACTTCTGATATCAAACACCTCTTGACGAGGTAAAATTGAAGTGACGATCGCCCCTTTAACTCCAAAAACTTCTGATATACTATTTTGTGGCGATTATTATTTAATTTACCAAAAAAAACTTTCTTTTTATTCAATTAGTTTCGTAATCGGCAGAAAGCTGCACAATAAAATAAGCCTTGATTGTCCGAAGAGTAGGCTACAAAAAATGTCCTCTTAAAACCAAAACTTAAATTGACTTTGTTTTTAATTTTATTAAAATCAGAAAACGTTATCATAAAGCTGTCATAGGAGCGATCGAATAATTGAGCTGGAAATCATCATAGCTTCAATGTTTTTAAACAAATAATTCAAAGTTTAAATGTTTTCAAGAGCATTTATTTTTTGCAATAGCTGCGTATATGAACTTCGGCTTGCGGAAGCTTGCTTCTTTTCTTGTTTTTGTTTAATTTTAAGACGATTTATACCACGATTAATATAAATATTTGTGTTGTTGCATTCTGTATCCGATTTGATGTTAGCGAAAATTTCTGGGATGGCGACTTCAAAAACCCCCTTAATTTGCGTTGATTTCGATATCAGACATCGTCCACCACACATTAAAGATTTCCTTCTCGTCGACAACATATGTTTCAATAACATACAGTCTGCGCAAACTCCTAGAATTTCCCATAAACTGACTCGAAGCGCTGTAGAACTTTCAAAAAACAAAACCCAAAACAAACTGCGCGGAGTAGCGTAGCGAACAGAGAACAGTGAACAACCCCTAAAAGGACACCGCACTCGAGGCCATTGCCGTGGACTTTTCAGAACAGATTCGAGCGGCAAAGGGTTCAGACTACTGCATCACTATAGGGCTGGATATCTAATATAAATCTTATTTTAAAGACAGATTCGTGATAACAAATTCTAGATACTTTTAAATGGATCCACTTGTATACAAATTGTTCGCCTAGTACCGTACTAGAGATACTAAGAAAAGGGGTTAGGGTGTGTCCTCTCCTAAGTTTTTCCTAACAAAATGGGCGTAGCAGGTGAGTAATAAGAAAGGCGGACAGGTTTTCTTAAACACCAGATGCACTTTTTATGAGTTGTATAATTTCATATATCGTTTTTTCGGTAGCTTGCGCATAGTTTATTTTCTTACAACATTATTGCCAAAACTCGGTTTGTATTTTTTGCACTTGAACTTCACACATATACTTGTCCATATACCGAGGACCAAATCCTTTGGGAGCGAATTTCCCTCAAGCCGCTTGTGGGAGGAATGGCCTCTGTTACCATCAAATTACCCAAAATAAGGGAATTTATCTCTTCCCACAGATACGAGGAACTGAGACCGCGGTCCAAGTGCAACAGTGCCAGTTGGACCATCGAGGGCGGCAACATGGAGGGCTATGGCAGCAGCACCGCCTCCACGCCGCTATCTAAAGACCAGTCCCAGACCAACGCCAATTCCAATCCCAATCCCAATCCCGGCGAGCACCAGGAGGCCATCGCCTTGAAGAAGGCGCTCGAGTGGGAGCTTAGTCTGGACGCCCGAGAGCTCCGTTCCCACGCCTGGTACCACGGAGCCCTGCCCCGCCAACGAGCCGAGGACATTGTGCAGCGCGAGGGCGACTTCCTAGTCCGCGACTGCGCCTCCCAGCCGGACAACTACGTGCTCAGCTGCCGGAGCAAGGCGGCCGTTCTGCACTTTGTGCTCAACAAGGTGGGTGCAAAGTAGCCGCTAATAGTGCAAGTCTGTATCATGCACCCTAAAATTATATATCTTCAATCTAAACAGTTTGGGACGCTTTCGTCTATCTGATGAATGCATTCTTCATTAGATCGTGTTACAATGGATAGGAACGTTAGGAAGCGTTAGTTTGGAAAGTTCCGACTTTTATTGGGACAGTCAGCCAGAAGTTTAGAAAAATTAAGGCTAAATACAGCTTCCTTTTCTTAAAGATTTATGCTCAGACTATACTGTTCTACTATACTGGAGGGATTGTCTATATTATTAATTATCTATTTTCTTTAATTACTATTTTGCGTTCTCTGTGAGCTGTGTAACGTAAGGAAGCGCAGCTTTCGCGTTATTTGCCAACATTATTGTAACCTCGATAACCATTTTTTTAAATTACGGTGCTTGAAAATGGGGTGACGGGCTTGGCTTTAAGAATAAATAAATAAATTTCTTATTTCAGTTGGTGCTACAACCGGAGACAGTTTACGAACGCGTACAGTTCCAGTTCGAAGAGGATGCCTTTGACACCGTTCCCGACCTAATAACTTTCTACGTGGGATCCGGCAAGCCCATCTCGTCGGCGTCGGGGGCACTCATCCAGTTTCCCTGCAATCGCACCTATCCGCTGTCCTTCTACGGCCACAAGATCGTGGGCAACCAGCTGCACACCCAGATGCTGGCCGGGCTGAGGGGTCTAAGTCCTCTGAACTCGCCGATGGCCAGCAATGGGGGAACCTTTCGCTTCGATCCTCAGCAGCAACAGGCATCGGCATCCCCCATGGCCAGATCCCCGGCCAGTCCGCACTGCTCTCCTCCAAGGGCTCGACGAGAGGTTCCTCCGCCACCGCGACTGCCTTGCAAGAAGCAGCAGCGCTCCCAGAGCCTCACGCCTGCCCAGGCCATGCTGGTGAGCAACATCAACAAGCTCCAGGAGCAGCAGCACCTGCAGATGCAGGAGCCTGAGAACGGGAATGGCCACGGCCACGGGATGGTCCGCTTCCAGACGATCGCCCGGTGCAACCCCACGAGCGAGCACCACCTCGAGAGCAAGTTCACCACCCACTCACTGCCCAGGGCCAACACCTCGGCGGCGCAGGCCCTGCGCCAGCAGGCGGTGGCCCGGATCTCGAGTCTGGCGAGGAACTGCAGCCTGGACTCGCCGGCCGACTCTCAACCGCCCAGTCCGCCGCCCAAGCCGCGCAAGGAACCCATGGCTGCGGTCCTGGCCTACCAGGCCAGTGGATCCGACTCGGGCAACGGCTCCGGCGACTCTGTTCTCGGGGATGCCTGCGAGGCTAGCATACAGCGGGGAGTTATTATCAAGAATCCCCGATTCATGACCACCTCAGTCTCCAACGGTACGCTGAAGAGCTTCACCGAATTTGACGCCCTTGCCGCCGAGGAGGAGCTTTTCACCATGGCCATAGAGGAAGTGAGAACGGTAAGTCGTTGCGCTTTGATATTTCGGCCTTTAAATTCTTTAATGGCTTATGAATTCAATATTTATTTACAATTTTATTAGAAATAGGATTTTTTGACTATTTCACAAATAATTAGAGCACAAGCAAATCATAGTTCTAGAAAAACAAAATCTTCGCCCGCAGGTTAAATTTTAGCAAATTGCTAACTTAATTCCTCTTAATGCAAAACCTGTCATTATACTCATAGAAAAAATCCAGAATTTCGCTGTCAAATCAAGAACGAACGTTGCCCAAAGTAGAGTAAATTCGAACTTTTTTGATTCAAGTATGAAAGGCAATGTTCAAGTACAAATTATTCAATCCCGAAGCTCTACATTTGAGAATAAACGTCATCAGTCATAGTACTCAAAAGTGCTTGAAGAAAGTGTGAAAGGTATTGCTTTGAGTACGACAAATTCTTTATGCAAGTATAAAAGTTTCTTAGTTTAATTTTTCTTAAAAAGTTTTTTTTTTCTTTTTCTTTTTTTTCATTGATTTCATATGAATTTAGAATGACAGGGAACATGATAAACTGATAAGTAAAGGAAAAAGAACATCAAACTTATTTTGTTAAAAAAAAGTCCAATCATTTTAAGAACGAAATGTTCTTGTTTTTAATTAATAGTCTTTGTGTTTTTGTTAAATTAATAGTTTTTAATAAAGTTTACTGTTTTTAATAATTCTGGTATTATTTACAAACACTATAAGCAGTGTTAAAGTGAAAAATAACGTTTTCTCTGTGTATTAAAAAAACATTTTGAAATGTTATTATCAAGTATGATCCGTACTTATCCTGTACACGTTCGTCCTAAAAATTTAAGAATTTTTCGGCCTATTTTCAAGTACGTCCGTACTAAAATTATTTGTTCTACTTTTTTCTGGGTGTATCAATCTGTAAAAATGTTATTTATTTTTATTTTTTAACTTCTAAGAGTCAGTAGAGTTCAAAATTTTATGCTGACTTACCTTTAAAATACGTATGTGTGTTACCAAAAAAATATCATTCTTTTTTCAATTTAGGCAAGCAAGTTCGACTTTGAAAACTTTGTCACTCTGCTACTGCCATCTGTGGACAATAAGCCACTGGACGGCGATGCCCTCAACACCTTCAAGATGATGCTTTTAGAGACGGGCCCAAAGCTGCTGGCGGAGCATATAACCCGCATCGACATTGGCCTGTTTCTGGAGGAGCCATCCAACGAGGAGGACTACTATCTGAGCTGCTCGGGTCTTGAGCTGCTGACACTGCCCCACGGAAAGCTCTTCCGCGAGGACATTATCGAGCGGACGCAGTGCATCAAGCTAATGGTGGCCGTGACTATACTCACCTGTCAAACGGATCTGGACCGGGCCCAGCTACTTAGTAAATGGATTCAGATAGCCGTGGAGACTAAGACTGCACTGGGAAATCTTTTTGGGTTCTGTGCCATCATGTTGGGGCTATGCATGCAACAGGTGAGATCTTTTTGGGTGCAGTGCACACAACAAATTGTAATGAACACTTTTAGGTTAAGAAAAACTTTAACTATCATATATTCGAGTTTTTTTTAATTTCGGTATTTTTACACCAGTTACTCGTAGAGTAACGTAAAGTATAAGGAAGGAAGCGTTCCAATCCGATAAAGTATATATATCCTTGATCAGGATGAATAGCCGACTCGATCGAGCCATGTCCGTCTGCCATATAAACGTCAAGACGTCATAAACAATACAAGCTAGAGAATTGTAATTTAACACGCCCACCTTAACGCCCACGAATTGCGAAAGTCTGTCATTTCTCTCTGAGACTTGTTAGACCTGAGTTATTGGGCTGTGTGTATGTGGTTCGGTCGTGCCTACCGGCAAACACGAAAATTTTAAGCTCGAAATATTATTTTAGAAGTTATTAAGTCCTCTACCGCTGCTCTGCCGGCAAAACACTATGCTATACTTATTAAATAGCGCTGTGGTGATCTGATTTAAAGAGACAGACAGAACTTCTAGGATTGGCAATCCAGTTCCACAGATGGCGCCAGCTAGAGCCCGAGTGTCTTGTGGGGGAATATTTAGTTTGAAGTTTATTTATTAGCTGAGCTATAGAGTTATAATTTCTTTTATTTTAAGTTCGGCAACTTAATAAATCAAGAATGAAGGGTATAGTCGAATGCCCCGACTAATAAAACCCTTTACTCAGCTAACCAATGTCAAAACAAATATGCCGCCAGGAAATTATCGGGCCTCAGGTGGCGTCATCTACCGAAAATGTACATTTCTGCTAATATGTTGTAAAACAATGGTTAGGTTTGCAAAATTTTTTTACGAGTTGATGGATTATTTTCATCAGCCAACTTTCAGCTAAAATTTGTTAACAAGCCGAATAATTTTCTAAAACAATATCTCCTAATGAAGGTGGCTTCCATGGATCCATTATCACAGATTTTTTTCAAAACGAAGTGTCTTTTCTTGCTCTCACATCCAGATTCAGAAGCTCGACCAAGCCTGGCACATCCTGAGGCAGCAGTATACGGACAGTGCCTTCACCTTCGAGGCCAAGCTGCGTCCCACGTTGAGCACCATGAACGAGGCCTCTAATCCTCAGGCCCCAAACACAACCGTTCCTCATGTTCTTCTATACGCGCTATTGATCGATCGGCCCGTGATGGACATCATAAACCATTCGAACATTGATGATCGTCCAGCACTGTACCACACATGTATTACTCCTTGGGAGTCAAAGGCGGACGACTTCGGCATGTCCATTAATTTTCAGCACCTCGACGCTTCGCGCGGCTTTCTAAAGAACTTGGACTTATATCGAAAGAATGCCAAGATCATTCTCGAGGACGCCAGCCCCAGGCTGGATGAGCTTCTAGCAGATGCGTTTCGGTGATATTGCAGAATCCACTCCTTGGTTGCCGCTCTAACTCTTTTTTCACTTTTAGAACCGAGTTCCATGTGAAGTTCCTATGGGGCAGTTCCGGGGCCACTGCGAAGTCCGAAGACCGACATAGCAAGCTGGAAAAGGTGCTAACCCTTATGGCCGACAAGTTCTGCATGATGACCGAATAGTATTATGAGAATTGACTCTAGTCTTTGCTAATAACAAAAAAGAACTTACTGTATTTAAAGGAACACTACAACATTTTTTCGACTATTCGAAATTCGTCTTTACCGAACTATCTCCAATGTTTCCAGACCCTCCGCAAATTTGAATTTCGTGCTGTCTCTACCTCAGCCTGATTATGTTTTATTTCAGCAGAAACACAAAAGCACTTTATGTTACAGTTCAAATATTGATTAGCCTAAGTTAAGCCAACTTTAGAAATGAACGAGTATGCGATGAGAAACTGGGAAAATAAAATAGAACCCAACTAGTTATCATTTATTCAACAGAAACTTTTAAAGAGCAGTCTTACTCTGACATACTATTAAAGATTTCTACTTACGTAACATATTATTCTATTTAAAAACGTACTCTACTATAGATCAGACAATATACGTTAATCAAAACTTAATACTTAAACATATTCTCACACATAATAATATAGGCATAACACTGAGAATGCATAATGCTTTACAATTTTATACATGTAAAGATAATGCAAATAAAGAGAATACTTAAGCCATGGTGGAGGACTTTATTATCTTCTTCGGGTTCCTCGACCTTTTGTTTACATTACACTAAGGCTCTGTACCGCACAAATACCTTTCACATTTGATCAGTATTGCTAATCGAGTCGATCTAGTCGTGTCAGTCTGACGGTCCGTATAAACGTCAAGCTCTCGAAAACTACATGAGCTAGTAATTGGGCAGTATATGTTTCTGCGGTATAAATCTATCGCCACGCAGAAAATTTTCCAAGTCAAACAATAATTTCAGTAGTCATTGAATAAATCCAAAATCAAATATAATCGTTTACTTTACTGCAAGCATTTAGATATGCTTCAATGTGTGTTTCCCACAAAAAATTACGCTTTCGACTTTATGGCGAATTTATAATATAAATATAATTTAATTTAATTTATAATAAATATAATATTAATAAATTGTTAGATTCGTAAATGTTCAATTTTTAATGTAAAATGACAAAATTATTTTCGGTTTACTGGCTTGTATTTTTTAAGAAATTATTTATGTTGTCGGAACTTCAGTTTTAGCAATTTTTTCAAACTTTATCGAGCTTCTATATTAGGAAACCTATCCTTACAACATATATGGATGAGTTAAAGAATCATCTATTTATAGTGAAATAAGCTATCGATGACCGGAATAGCTTAACTGGAGACAAAATATAAAATTGGTATGAAATCAGATGAAAAACTTTCTTTACGCTTAAAAAAAAATGGTACCATACAAAAAATGTGGAGTGTCATTTTTTGGAACAGGAAGTCAATCTGCACCGGAAAATAAAGGAAGATTTCTTGGATTTAAATTTGTAAGCCAGTGTAATCAGGAGAGAATGGTTTACAGTCTGGATTACTTTGTCATAGGCATGGTCGCCTTGCAATGCTGGTCGTATATAATCTGCATTACTATTAATAGGAATCGACTTCGGGTCCGATTACAATTCAATATTTAATAAAAAAAACGTATACTGAGTTGCAATGCAGTAAGGCTTACAAAAAAAATAAAAATATTCTTTCCCCAAGTAAGAATGGACCCTGGACATGACGAAGTCAAGTAAATCAATCAGGATAGATAAAAAGCTGATTTTGTTTAATTTTGTCTTCTGTTGTTTTTTGTAATTAAAAAAGAAGCACAAATGTTATATCTCTGACTAAAAATAGTAAATGTGATCCATAACTTTTGAGCTAAAAGTAATGAATTTTTTCTCCAGAACCCACTATTTCGCCGCTTAGTCTGTGAGTTGATCCTAAATCCTAAATGCTGTAAGCACCCGGTTGGGTGTGTTTTAAGAACACAATTTTATCTCGCGAAGTTTCAGTTAATTTAATTAGTTATCCGGTTTTTTATAATTACAAAAAACAACAGAAGACAAAATTAAGCAAAGCTGTTTATTTATCCTGATTGATTTACTTGACTTAGTTATATGATGTGAACCGTTTGTTACAAATTTAGTATGTCTTAGCTTTTGCATAAGCTTTGGTTGATAAGACTCATTGAGATACTGAGTAATGACTTGAAAATTATAGATAAGTCGAAGAGCTCATTAAAACAAATAAAACTATGACTCCTCATTATTGACTATGACTCCCCCCTTATTGAATTTTGAGCTACTTAAGCTGATTTAAAGCATGTTTTGAAAACAACAAAAACGAAATGGGTTACGAAAAAATGCCTTTATATGTTATTTTAAAAAAATTTGACAATTGAAATTGGGTCACAACATTTTTGCGACTTGAAGGAATGAGGCTTGTCTAATCTTGAATCAAATTTGGGTTCTTATAGTAACCGAGATCTCGCCGCTTATATTGGCTGTTAACCCTGATTGAGATTAATGAATTGCTTAATTAAGTAACACTTCAAATGGCAAATAAATAACTGAAAGAAAAACAGTTATGTCCCAACTAATATAATCAGTACACGAGTCGATTAGCTCCGGAGCACTCATGATTTGAGAAAACACTTGCAAATACATATAACAACTTTGAATTCAAAAGGAATTGCGATTAACCGGCTAAATGTGCAGCTTTATCAGCCACTCAAGAGGCGTCCAACGGGCCTTATCATGCCTCCAGGAAAGACTCGTTCAAAGTTCCCGACAGCCAAACAAGCCCATTACCCATTACCATGGCATTGTGCTCTGGACAGCACTAGCGAGCGGAGGTCTTCCACGCCAGTCGTTTGAGCTTTAAGCTTCTCCGGACAAAACATTTTGTAGACTTTTAATTCGCACTTCTAGAGTCAGAGCTCAGAGCTCAGAGCTCAATATGAGCAGCGGCTGTCGCTGCACTCGAAAGCTGACAATGGCCGTGAGTGGATGTCTGATTGTCGCGGTGATGGCCCTCACCGTCGGGCTTTGTGTGGGACTGGGCGGCGACAGCGAGGCCCTCGAGGTGAGTCTACCTTGGTTTGGTTTGGTGGTTTCACTGGCGGGCTACTTAGTAACCATTGCCCAACAACCGGTATCTAAATTTGATCGCAAATTCAAATAGGACCAGCCAAGATTTACGATCGACCACCAGGCCAACACCTTCATGCTGGATGGCAAGCCCTTCCGGTACGTCTCTGGATCGTTTCACTACTTCCGGGCTGTGCCCGAGTCCTGGCGGAGTCGGCTGCGGACAATGCGAGCATCTGGTCTGAATGCACTTGACACGTAAGTTATTCTACTGAGTCTCGCATGAATCGCATGAATGTATACACTGAGACAATTTGTCGTTCAACCGCCCTCGGTTTATAATGCACACGAAATTCAACTACATATAAAAAGAGCAAAGTGTAAAATAAATTACGATATGTCCCAATGATCCTCTCTTGAGTGATAACTTCAAGCTTCGGCTTGTATGACAATAATAGAATACTTTACTTAAGTCAATAGCATTTTTTTAAAGTTAACTGAGATAAAGTTATTAATCTTGTCTTCATTCTTCTTCGTGAAATTGACCAATGCCCACAAGTACCAAAAGAAAAATTATCAAAAATATTAGTACATTTTTTCGTTTTTTTTTTTTTATAATTTTAGCTTTTTTTATTTTTTTCAAATAAGTGACTAAAGTTTCTAAAAGTTGGGGCCTTATTTTAATTTATTTAAATCGGGAAATGATATTTTATAGCTGTCATAGAAACGATCGAAATAACGGTTTAATTTTTTTTAACATATGCGCAAATAATTCGAAGTTTAGATGTTATAAAGAATATTTAATTTGTGCAATAGCTGCAGGAGTATATAAACCCTTGCCTTGACGAAGTTATCTTCCTTTCATGTTTAGGGAGGATTTTGTTTTATATCAAACAAAACAATTTTTTTCAACGATAAGTGTCGAGCTAAAAAAATTATAAATGAGAAAAAAAAATGAATTGTGAAATGATTTGTCACGAAAAAACTTGCAAAAACTACTACTTCTACGCAGCTGAGTTTTCGGCATCTACAGATTAAAGCCATAGATAAAGGATTGCACATTTTAAGAAATACTTTAATGTATATGGGCCGAAGCCTCATTATTTTTCGGAGAACCTTTAACTTTAAATTTGCCTTAGCTTACTACAAACCTGAAATTATTGATTCTTATTTCCAGCTATGTAGAATGGTCGCTCCACAATCCCCATGATGGCGAATACAACTGGGAGGGCATTGCGAATGTGGTCAGATTCTTGGAGATTGCCCAGGAGGAAGACTTCTACATCATCCTCCGCCCGGGTCCCTACATTTGTGCCGAGCGAGACAATGTAAGTATTTAAATAATTACATATGTATGTATGTACATATACTGGGTAATTTCAAAACATATTTAAGTCCTTGCAAAGCACCAGGCATCTGAATGTTCATTTTCCCATTGTCAGTTGACGAGGTTAACCAAAAAAATAGATATAATACACTACCCTATGGTTATCCTATGTAAGAAATCAGAAAACATTCACATTGGCAAGCTATTGGTTTCATAGCTTTGATTTATGACAAAAGTTTATCAAAGAATTCTCTGTTACTTGGGTAAATTTTGTTTTTACGTTACTAGAATCTGTTAATCTGCACAGAACTGCCAGTATCATTTTTACCATTAAATAATGTAAAATTTATTAAAGGACGTAATTTGGTAAGGAATTTTATAAAAACGAGTATCAGCCTTTACTTTTTATGAACAATTGTCATTAGTCTTGCCGTTTATTAACAATAACCGAAATAAACAGCAATTGAAAGGTTATTTTTTTAGTGTAAGTCGTGAGACTTCTAAGAATTTGTTCCTTTCACGCCAGCAAAAAAAATTAATGCGCAAAAGCCGTTTTTTATGCATGTGTGAAAATATGTATGAATGTATGTACATATATTGAGCGCGCCAATTTTTGGCGCCAAAGTTTGTGCACATGTATGTATGTGTATTTTTTGTTGATGTGACCATCGTTGCATATGTAGATATTTATTGTGTTAATGTTCAACATACAAGAACCATACATACAGCATCAATACTTGTGATCAAAATTTGTCATCAAGAAATTTCGCAAAGTTTTAAAAGGAAGTGGCGGTAATAATAATATAGTTTTACAAACATGAGAAATAAATGGGACGGACAGTAACCAAAAGAAAGTTTTTTTTTTTTTAATTATTTACATACAAATTAATTTGTCATAAGCAGCGAATATAAAATAAAGTCCGCTAAGGTACTACATACATACATACATACATATGTACATATGCATGTTTTTACAAACATGTTATAAAGTATTATTGTTTGAAATAACCGGTAACCAAAATTTGTTTTGGTTAAAATAATAAAATATTTACCAAAACCGAAACCGATAAAAGTAGTCATATTGGTTTGGTTTTAGTCCCTGATCAATATATGTATATTCTTCCTCAACGAACTTAAATAGTTTGTATTGAAAATAGGCATACCCAGTAGGTAGAACTACGTATGTAGATACATAAGTAGTCAAAAAATCTGCGATTAATGCAACTACGGGGAAAACCCGCTACACCATTACCTTTTCAGGGTGGTCTTCCCCACTGGCTCTTTGCCAAATACCCGTCCATAAAGATGCGGACCAACGACCCAAACTACATCTCAGAGGTGGGCAAGTGGTATGCGGAGTTGCTGCCACGCCTCCAGCACCTGCTCGTGGGCAACGGCGGCAAGATCATCATGGTGCAGGTGGAGAACGAGTACGGGGACTACGCCTGCGACCACGACTACCTCAACTGGCTGCGGGACGAGACGGAGAAGTACGTGGCCGGGAAGGCCCTGCTCTTCACGGTGGACATTCCCAACGAGAAGATGAGCTGCGGAAAAATCGAGAACGTGTTTGCCACCACTGACTTTGGCATTGATCGCAGTGAGTTGAGCCAAGTAGAGGCTGACCCAAAAGCATAGTGTTGCATTACCCGCATTGCAGTCCATGAGATTGACAAGATCTGGGAAATGCTGCGCGTCCTACAACCCACTGGCCCTCTGGTCAACTCGGAGTTCTATCCTGGCTGGCTGACCCATTGGCAGGAGCAAAACCAAAGGCGTGATGGCCAAGAGGTAGCCGATGCTTTAAGGTGAGTTAAATCATCCATAACTTATATCCAAAGAGAACTTTATTTCGATTCGGTATGGAGTCACTCCAAGTCAATAGTGTACCCACTTTTATACCCAATCAAGCCATGTCCGTATGTCCTTCCGTTTAAGCGCAAAGTTGTCTTTTACTTTTGCTAAACCTAATTAATTATAAAAAAAATTATAATTATTTTTAACTTGGCGTGTTCGAATGATATACTTTTATTATTTCTCTTTTACCATTTCACATAAGAAATAAAATAAAATTAAATGATTCCAGGACAATCCTTAGCTACAACGCCAGTGTTAATTTGTACATGTTCTTCGGGGGCACCAACTTCGGTTTCACCGCCGGAGCCAACTACAACCTGGACGGTGGCATCGGATACGCGGCGGACATTACCAGCTACGACTACGATGCGGTGATGGACGAGGCCGGAGGAGTGACCAGCAAGTACAACCTGGTTCGGGCTGCAATCGGGGAGTTCCTTCCGCTGCCCGAGATTCCCTTGAGTCCCGCCAAGCGCCTGGCCTACGGAAAGGTGGAGGTGACACCCAAGCTGGCGCTGCTCTCGCCCGAAGGACGTGCTGCGCTCTCCAGAGGGGACGTCGTGAAGTCAACCAAGCCCAAATCCTTTGAAGAGCTGGACTTGTACTCGGGCCTCGTTCTGTACGAGACGGAATTGCCGAGCATGGACTTGGACCCGGCACTGTTGAAAGTAGATCAGATCAAAGACCGCGCACACGTCTTCGTGGACCAGGAGCTGGTGGGCACACTCTCACGGGAGGCACAGATCTACGCGCTGCCCCTCAGCAAGGGTTGGGGTAGCACCCTTCAACTGCTCGTGGAGAACCAGGGACGCGTCAACTTTTACATCTCCAACGACACAAAGGGCATCTTTGGCGAGGTGAGCCTGCAGCTACACAACGGTGGGTACCTGCCCCTCGAGAACTGGCGGAGTACCGCCTTCCCGTTGGAGCAATCCTCTATCGAACTCTGGCGCCGCGAGCACAGTGACCAGAAGATCCTGGACTCGTTTCTGGCCAGGCAACGCGTTCTCCGCAACGGACCCATCCTCTATACTGGCAGCCTGACGGTGGCGGAGGTGGGCGACACCTACCTGAACATGGCCGGTTGGGGCAAGGGAGTGGCCTATGTGAACGGCTTCAACTTGGGGCGCTACTGGCCCGTGGCCGGCCCGCAGGTCACTCTGTATGTGCCCAACGAAATCCTCCAGCTGGGCGAAAACTCACTGGTCATTCTTGAGTACCAGCGGGCCAACAAGACGACGAGAGGCGATGACTTGCCTGCCGTGCAGTTTGACGCAGTTGCTCAGCTGGATGGAGAGTCCGGAGATGTTACACTTAAATAATATATGGGAATTATTTTTGGACATGTCTTTATTTGAAGCAGTTTTGATTGATCTTTGTATCGACAACCTTTAAGCCTTATATAATACATTTTCTAACTCCTATCATACATCTATGTTTATCTGTGCTTAAATTATTTTTGTTAATCTTTGCTTGACTGATCCGTTCCTTATTTCAGCTCGCTTTCAATTGACTTTTTCCGTTACCATTATAATATAATTTAATTACAATAATAATTATTTGCATTTTTATTGATGTTTGATTAGCTCATATTGTTATACCCTTGCAGAGGGTATTATAATTTCAGTCAGAAGTTTGCAACGCAGTGAAGGAGACGTTTCCGACCCTATAAAGTATATATATTCTTGATCAGCATCACTAGTAGAGTCGATCTAGCCATGTCCGTCTGTCCGTCCGTCTGTCCGTCTGTCCGCCCGTCTGTCCGTCTGTCCGTCCGTTTATATGCAAACTAGTCTCTCAGTTTTAAAGCTATCTGCATGAAACTTTCCCAAAAGTTGTCTTTCTATTGCAGGTAGTATATAAGTCGGAACGAGCCGGATCGGACGACTATATCATATAGCTCCCATAGGAACAATCGGAAAAATAATTGAAAAAAAATTGTAACTTTGCTGTTTTTTAATTTTTTGTTTAGTTCTTCGACATATAGCAATGGGTAAATATTTCAGAATTATGGTTAAAATTTCATCAAAATCGGACGACTATAGCATATAGCTTCCATAGGAACAATCGGAAAAATAATTGAAAAAAAATTATAACTTTGCTGTTTTTTAATTTTTTGTTTAGTTCTTCGACATATAGCAATGGTTAAATAATTCAGAATTATGGTTTAAATTTCATCAAAATCGGACGACTATAGCATATAGCTCCCATAGGAACAATCGGAAAAATAAATGAAAAAAAATTATAACTTTGCTGTTTTTTAATTTTTTGTTTAGTTCTTCGACATATAGTAATGGTTAAATATTTCCGATTTACGGTTTAAATTTTATCAAAATCGGTCGACTATAGCATATAGCTCCCATAGGAACAATCGGAAAAATAAATGAAAAAATATTATAACTTTGCTGTTTTTTAAGTTTTTTTTTAGTTCTTCGACATATAGCAATGGTTAAATATTTCAGAATTATGGTTTAAATTTCATCAAAATCGGACGACTATATCATATAGCTCCCATACAAATAATAAAAATATATAAAAGAACAATCAAATAATTAAGCTGCAAATCGTCATAGCTTCAATGTTTTTAAACATATACGCAAGTAAATCATAATTTTAATGTTTTCAAAAATATTTAATTCTTGCGATAGCTGCAAGGGTATATGAACTTCGGCTTGCCGAAGTTTGCTTTCTTTCTTGTTTTTAAATTTGTATCAGTAATATCATTGGCAAATGGAGATTCAGAGTTCTCGCAATGTGTTTTCTGGGAGTTTTGAGCATTGTAATAATTTCATTGTTATGTACCAACGGTCAGTTATAATTTCAAGTACCCGTTTTGTGTTGAACGGCGTTTATATAATGACCTGTTTTACATATGTACATATATGAACTGGTGGAACTGAGGACATCAATCTCAGTAAAATTAGATTTTTTTTAATACAGTTTGAAATTAGTGGGCCTTAAAAGTATCTGACTTTAATACATTTTCTTTTGCAATACATTTTTCAGCTCTTAGAGTACGAAAAACATTTAATACTCCATTTTAGGGCAGTGGTGTACATAATTATATAGAAAAATCTTATATAAATTTGTTCAAAGATTTCTGACATTATGGAACGCCAAATTATCATGCCAAAAGTTGCAAACCATGTTAAATAAATAATACAGTTTTGGAATGTTACTTTTGTTTGCAATATAAATTTAAAAAGGTACAAGAGCAAATTTAAGCATATGTGTGAGCTTTTTAATAAATGTACCATAAATTGCCTTATTCTTTATTATTTTATAATTGCGTGTTGCAAAAATATATTTATAAGCTGTATAGCTTACCATTTGTGTGCATTAATTAGGTTTAAGCTCATGTTTATTAATTAGCAAATTGTATTGTGTTTCTTATATTTTCTCTGTGCTTTTGGTACCCACGCAAAAAAGGGGTTTTATTGGCTTACAAAAATAACTATTAACATATTATTTTTGAGACAAATATCTGTTGTGCTAGGTTGTGTTCGTTCAGCTTAGGAATGAGTTTCGTGTTATATTCGTTTGATTTGTTGGAAACTGTTGCGTATAATTTCGGTTTTTCTATACATTTGTTTAAAAATATATCACAGCTGCATTTCAAGATAAATGTTTTCTTTTTTTGCTATGCCTCCTTCCACTTTCATTGTAAAAAGTTTAGAAAATCTATTTAAAATGTTTTACTTTTACTTTCTCATTTCTTTCATGGGTAAAGGGAAGCCGACGTAAAAACAGCAACAAATTTGGCAACCTAGTTAATATTAGTCAATGTCCACTAAGACGGAATGCGTTTGATTAAGTTAGACAAGTTAGCTATGTCCCTTGGGTACAAAGGTAATTTATAGTATAGTTAACTAACCGGAGCGCAGATGAGTAGTTGCAGTTTTTGTTCCAAGAGGGTGGTGCCCAGAGTTCCTTACCTTGTGCCTTGAGTTCCTTACCTTGTACCTCCAATCCTCTGCCACCTTCGATGCCTTTTTAAAGAGCTGTGGGGGCAGCAAGAGCCATTTGTCAGTGCCACTTTGACTTTTGCGTGTAGATATCAGCGCGCAGATTCTGGGCAAAACAAATGCCTAGGATCTGAAAAGAGATTTTAGGTTATGTAACGATCTTTCTATTTCATTTTAGGAATAGCAATATAAATAAACAAATCAACATCAAACAGAGACCTGGAAAAACATTACAACAATAACAGCAGTGGAAATAATAATCAAATTGTGTTCCATCCATTCTTCGCCAGCTTGAACACAGCCCTTTTCATAGATTATTTTGGACAGCTCCAAGCCCTGGCAAAAATTTTAAAAAGAGAAAGTAAAATAAATTAAAAATCAGTACAAAATATACCTCGAACTTAAATACTTAAAAACTTAAATTGTTTCATATAGTGGTGTTAAACAGAAAAATGGTATCTAAAATGCGACCATATTGACAGTTCGTTCAGTAAGGTATTTACATAGGTATGTATAGGTATGTTTAAAATCCTTTTCAATAAAACCCATAGTTTATAAGAACTGCTCAAAATCCACAAGGGCTTTAAGGGGGATTCTGGTCTAGAAATTTGAAAAAGTCGATTTTTTTAAACATATTTTGAAAGTTTATACTCTTAAAAATGTGATCCTAAAAGGATTTTTAAAAATTCGGATTCTTCGAACGTGGAGTCCGAGCCATTAGAATCGTTTCCTAATCTTTAAACGCGTTTTTTGCGAAACTACTTTTTTTGAGATGGCTGACATGACATTTCAAGTTCTACTAAGTCGAGTCCTTTGAAATTTGGTTTATATCTTCTTTTACTACTCTCTATCGTGTGTGCCTCGAACTTAAACAAATTTTGATTATAGTATTTTTAAAATATGCAGAAAGGTTGGAAAAATTAAAAAAATTGTTATTTTTAATACGACGCCGTTTTATTCTTAATTATTTTGTTTTGAAACTTGGTCAACCCGATAATGACATCTTTACTAATCAAGAATATGTTATTATTTTCCCGATTTAACGGCCTGTATCTCACTTGTATGTCACTTGTATATTTTTCATTTTCTTTCTATCTTACTTGAAAAAATTCCTTAAAATCAGGCTTCTAGCCCAGAATACCCCTTAAGCACTGTGTACGTCCGTTTACGGAGCGTCTTTTATGGAGTAAGTAATTTTTTTTATCAGTTATTAAGAAAACATGCTTCTCAAGCCTAGAAATGCTTTTAAAATATATCGCTCGTATACTAAAATTGGGAAAATGAGTTAGTTTTGTCCAGCCCGGTTCTTGTCCATTGCATTACAGCTGATTTTGTGTAAGCCGGATAGTAAATGCCTACTCATGTCAAAAATTATACACACACTGCTGGAGCAAAAATAAAATTAAAACACAGTTAAATCAACATGGTCTTTCTTTGCACCTGCAGAACCAACAGGGCCACGCAGCACATCGCCACACTAATGAGATGTGCCTCCAGCCAATCCTCGCCAGCGCGCAGGCAGCCGCGCTCATGAATGTTCCTATCCACTGGCTGCTTGCGTACAATTCGTGAGTGAGTTAGAAATGCATTTTGGGAAACGAGGGTAACTTGGTCATGGCTGTTATGCAGACTTACGTATCCCTCCTTGCGAACATCGTAGCCACATTGCTTGTTCTTGATCAGCTCCTGGGGACGCCTGCGGCAGCAGGAGAAGGGCACCCCGCAGGCCTCCCGGCTGCCGATGGCGATGGACGAGCAGTTGAAGTAGTTGTTGCTGTCCCAGTCCTTCGGCCCGTCAATGCCGCAGCACTGCAGCCAGTCCTCCTGGATCCAGTCGATCAGGTTCTGCTGGTCCGCGTCCTCGCGATAGTGCCGGATGAAGGCCTTCAGCCCTTCGGTGGCCTGGTCCTTGATCTGGAAAGGTGAGCCTTGATCAGGTCCTGTCTCCGGGGAGGCATTCAAACTCAAACACCGAACTCACCCAGCCCTTGTCCTTGAGCACGAAGGCCACAGCGCAAAAGCCGATCTCGGCGATGAGCAGGACACTCAGGAAGATGGCGTACTAGAGGAAGAGGCATTAGAGGATTAGGTCCCCAAAAAACGTTTTTCTAGGAATACCCACCGCCGCCAGGAGACAAGTGTTCTCCCGCAGGGCGCCCACGCTGCCCATGAAGCCCAGCTGGAAGGCGATGCAGCCCACGATGATCAGCACGAAGGCCGGGTCCAGGGCGATGAAGTGCAGTCGAGTGATGTTGCGGAACATGCCCTTTTCGCTCCAGGCCCAGATGCCCACCGAAAGGACCAACAGTGCCGCGAGCCACAGGATCACATTGCTGGCGAACAGAAGGTACTTAAGGCAGCAGCTGATTTCGCTGGTCTCGCGGCGGAACTTGCGCACAGCAGCTGGCATTGCTCCAATTTTAACAATAATAAATATGGCCAGAAAACAAAAACGTAAGAGATTCTATGCACAGGTGTGACCGCGTCTGGACTGCTATAACACGCCAACGGCTCGAAAAAGATACTAAAACTGGTAACAGGTAAAAAAATCTCCCCAATTTCGAGTACCAGATTTGTTGTTAGAAAAAGTAACTAAACTTTTATTTATTTTTATTTTATGGTTTTCGAAGATATATACCTATTGCTTCAAATAAAACAGTGAAATTTGGATTTCTCCAAAATAAAGGAACTATTTGGCCAACTACATTTTTTGATTTTATTGAATTGCTTGTAATGATTCTTTAGCACGTACCTCGATACCATTTCACTGTACTTTACTTGCTTTTTTCGAAAACAATTTGTGTATTGCCCAAATTCCATGCCTTGAAGATGTTATAAAGCAAAAAGGACCACCAACAAAATATTCATTTTTATGTAAAACGGAAAAAAAACGATTTTGGGTGAAGTGTGCCAAGACTTTTGTTTCACGAAATAAGTTCATTTTTTGTTTAAGCCTAAAAAGTTTTAAGTTCGTTACAAAAAAAATCCAAAACAAATGTGCCTTTGAATAAACAAATGTTTAATTTAAATATATTAAAAAAACTGTATCATAAAAATGCCTAATAACATTTGTAGTTGACATTTGCTCTGAAACTATTGCTTGAAATAAAACTGACATTTGGATTTCTCCAAAATAAAGGAACTATTTGGCGAACCCCATTTTTTGATTTTATTGAATTGCTTGTAATGATTTTTTAGCACGCACCTCGATTCATAGAGTGATATGATTTTTACTTTACTTGCTTTTTTCGAAAACAAACGACTAAATCTCTGAATTGCTGAAAATTCAGCAGAAATTTTCGACAATTGCAGAACAACCAAAATGTTTCCCGCTGAAATTGCCAGTGTTGCCTTCCTTATTTTAATAGGAAAGAGCGACTATCCTGACCTTTCAGCAGACTCTAGGTTACTGATCTGCTGAAATCTCTATAATTCTGAGGTTCGGTCACGATTCTACCATTTAGGTACATTTTACGGTATTTTTTTTTGATTCAATAACAAATTTAATGATTTTATGTTCTATAATTACACCTAGGAAAATTCCTTTTTTTACGAAAGGTTCTTTTTTTATTTTTCTTTGTCGATTATTTGAATATTTCGGTCTAATTTTTTTTATTTAAAAAGTTTGCCCTTAAATTAATGGAGATTTTCTAGTATTTAGAAAAAAAATTGTATGAGTAATCGAGTGTGACACTTTCAAAAAAAAACATTTTTGACTTATCTTTGCAAATATCCTGGACTTGCAGCGTTCTAAAGCGACCACTAGCAGTAATAAAACTGTCCACCTGAAACTTAAAATGCTTTTTCTCGAAATTACACTTTTAAAAATTGCTGACACCATAACTCAACGTTACATTGGGCTTACGATGATCAGCAAAAAAGAGCTTAAAAATAGTACACTACCTTTTCTTGGTAGATGATTTATATCTGCCAGCCTTAATCGATGGTATAAATATCGATAAGATTGAACAGAAAAAGAAAGAATGTACACAAAAAAAAAATAAAAAATCAAACAAAACAAGCAAAAATTAATTTATTATTGAGTAATGTATCAGCAAACTTACTGGTCCATCAGTGATCAGTGATCAAGTTGTTCTACTGAATACGCCCATTGACAAACCAAGCCAAACCATCTGCCGAACTGTGTTCACTATGACACTAGAAGCTAAGAGCGTTCAGCACCCCCACCCCCGCTAAGAGTTCTTCCTTCTGTCTCTTTACATCATCGATCACCGGCAGAGCGGCGATAGCGGACTTAACTCGATTTTGAAAATGTTCAGTCTACCGATAGATAGATCGAAACACACACACAAAGTGAAATAGCTGAGGATGTCTCAGAGTGACGTTACAGACTTTCGCGATTTGTGGGCGTTAGAATAGGCGTGACTCCGTTTTGACTTGAGCTGCAAATAAATTACTAGAATCTGCCTTTCAAATCCCAAATCTCTAGCTTTAAAACTTTCTGAGATCTCGACATTCATACAGACAGATATGGCTAGATCGACCGCCTGTCCGTCCGTTTCTACGGAAGCTCTCTCAAGTCTCTCAGTTTTTTTTAAATTACCCAAAAGTCTTTCTATTGCGGGGTAGTATATAAGTCGAAACGGGTCGCATCGGAAGACTTTAATAAATATCTCCCAAAGAAACGGAGATCGACGAAATCCGTTTCTCAGCTATGAGAGTGTTTTTTCGCACTCCGGTATTCAGATCAACGAAAAAAATATTAAAAAATTGCAAAGCACTGCCAGATTTCTGAAAAAAAAACTTTTGGTGAATGTAAGCCAGGCCCTGTGGAAAAGAATAAAAAATGTTATCTTTTGAGGTTGGAGTTGGCAGAGCAGAGTACTTTTCGGATAAAAAAAATGGGAGGAAAAAAAAAAGCAAACTTCGACAAGTCGAAGCTTATATACCCTTGCAGCTATTGCAAAAGTTAAATATTCTTGAAAACATTAAATAAATATGTTTAAAAACGTAGAAGCTATGATGATTTGCAGCTCAATTATTCGAGAGTTCCTATGGCAGCTATATGATATCGTTTTCCTATTTTAATAAAATTAAAACCATAATTCTGAACTGTCAAATTATTAATAAATCAAAAATAGTTTTTTAGAAAAATTACAAATTAGAAAAGTTACAATATTAAAAATTTTTTTTTTTTAATTATTTTTATTGTTTCCATGGTTTTTTTATGTTATATGTTTGATGAAATGTCGGAAATGTCTCCTTCACTTCGTTGCAAACTTCTGACTGAAATTATATTACCCTCTGCAAGGGAATAAAAATTAGAAATTAGAGTGTTTACGAAAACATTTTTCTAAACCATTTTGATGCCACTCTAGTCTCAAAATATACCTGAAAACATTTATTAAGATTGTAGTTCATAATTTACATTGTAAAACATTAAATATACGTATACAATATTAATAATATTTATTTAATAGTGTCAAGATGGCGGGGAAAAATTAATTTTTTCTGTTTGTCACCAAGCCCAGCTAATTGCCAGTAAGACCGAAGAACACCGAATTCGGTGAACTTTGAAAATTTAGGTCACACTAGAAAGAATAAAGTTATTCCGCTGGCGAAACTGTTAGTCGATTTAAGTTCTAGGCTCATCATTAAACTGGCCGTGAGCAACAGATTTAGTTTTTGATTGAGACCCTTGAACAAAAATAATTGTTTTTTGCGAGTCCTTTTACGGTAGAAAGTAAAAGAAATACCGCAATGCAGTTTGGTTGGGATCCGATCAGTAGACTTCCCATACAAATTTTTGTTTGATTTCCAAACCAGTGTTGTACAACTTTACTGACAGCTGGTATTTTCTGAACTTTTCTTGCTGGCAGAACGGCGTTTTCAGCACTTCAACGACGGGTCACACTGGACACATGTAGCAGGAAAAAACGCAGACATTGAGAAAGAAATCAGAAAAATAAATTCGCATTAAAGCCAGTTCGCCAGTGCCGTGGTCGGTGATTTTATGGAACACTTCGTCTTCGATCATCTAGCGAGCGTGCGCGGCCACAACTTCCTATGACGACAGTGAGTTTTTCCCCAGTGTCCGAGCAAGTGCAATTGTGTGTGTGCGAGTGTGTTAGTTCGGGAGCACTTCTGGTGGCCAAAAATGTTCAATTAGCAGCGAAAAACTGGCAAAAAGCAGACGCCCACCTGGCGCAGGGCGAGAGTTGTGAAAGGAACGCAGGAAAAGCTTTGATAGCAGGCTCGGCAACGGCCAACGGGGAAAACAACCCCCCGCACTAGTCGAAGAAAATGTTTGTATGTGTGCTTACTGGCAGCGCAATCGACGTCCGAAAATCAGTAATTAAACTGAAAATCTGCCTTTAAAACAAACGACTGGACCCCAGCTAGGTTAGGAACCATCGCGAATGTGTGAATTGCGGTGAAAACGGAGCACGGGAGACCAATTCGGTGGCCACTGGCCAGAATCTGGCGCACGAATTGCATACGCCAGCAGAGAAGCGACAGCGCTGCAAAGTGCGTTGCGTCGCTGCCGGTCGCCATCATAGCGAAAAATATTGTGATCCCACGCCTGGAAAATAGATATAGGGTCGAAGTATATAGAAGTATTTAGTGCAAGTCGAGATTTTTGGCCAGGGGAACGGAAGTTAACTTTTTAAAAAGTACAGTGCTGCATTTACCCTCCAACAGCGCCCCCCTCTCTTACTCCTCCGCTGGAGGTGTACAATATGGCAACGCAAATGCGTAAAAGTTACAACTGCCAGCACGACTCCTGCTGGAAACAGTTACTAATATTTAGTGCAAATTTCGCCAAAACGATACATATTTATGTACATGCTCGGTTCGGCTGTGTGTTTGTGAATGCGTACCTGTGTCTGTTCGTGTAAGCTGTTTGTGGCTGTGTAAGCTGCGGGCGAGTGTGTGTTTGTGCGGCTGAAAATGAAAATTATATAAAAGAAGCTTTCGGCCTAGGCTCTGCTTTTCCGAGCGACCAGATCAGCGAACAGCAGAACAACAGCGGATAAACAGTTTGTGCAGTTCCAAAAACGACAGTTGGCATGCCGCGCTTCCCAATCAATAAATCCCCCCAATCCCCTGATACCGATATTAATTGAAATCATGGGGAAGGGAAAGGGAAACAATATCCCGAGCAGCGCAGCAAACGCAGCATGCCTCTGCCAGCGTCACTGCCCCGTCAATGTACTTTGTTCACTTGATACACAAAAACGGTACTCGTCGCTAATCTCGCTCTCTCTAGGAGAGCGCGGGCTCTTCCTGATCAAGCACACGGCAAACTATACACACACACTCTGTGTGTGTGCCACCCACTTTTGCTCCCTTCCCGTCGTTGATTTTGGTGGTGGTAGTGGTAGTGGCGCCCCATATTCGTGCGAGATTGTGTACTACAACAACCACCAAAGAAAAAGCAAAGCTCTGTGCCGGCGGCTTCCTTTTGTCTAGCTGACGAACGTATAAAATCTGCTTAAAATCTCAACCGGAACTTGAAGTTGACAGCGATTTTCAACATGGCTTCGCAT